CAAAGTCTTTTATTGCAATCCTTGCCAAAAGTCTCCTTTTATCTTTGGTTCTTTTGTTAATCCTTCTGTCTCTTTATCACATTCAACACCCAACAGTCCCAGGGAATTGCATTTATATATCCTCCTGGCAGAATTTCTCTCCCTTATTTCTAAATTTCTGGGGTTATTATTTTATTTGTCTTTTATTTCGTAACAGTTATAAGTCCAGTAAATTTCTATATAATTTTGCAGGGGAAAAAAGTCTTTAACCATTAGATGGCGGTCTGTATCACTTTCCACTTTTCAAAGTTCTTTTCTCTTTTAATGATATTAGACATTAATTTCCAATCATTTCCATGATTAATTTTCTTAATATTAACCAATTCCAAGCAGGTTCAGCATTTAATCCAATGCCTAATTAATGCCAATTTATATTATTCAAGTTTAGTATCTAATTTCATTGTAGCTTTTTATGCTCCAATTTTGTTTATCTTGTATTTTCCTCTTATTTTCTGTTCACCACTGTGTTACTCTTATGCGAGGGCACTTTCTTTCTACTTCTCGGGGTTGTTGAGAAAAAATCAAGTTCTTTTAACTGGTTACACGTCACTTACCACTTCACCGCTCCAGCACAAAACTTAGGTCCCGGCAGCTTTTTGTCTTCAGGGCAGCCATTTTAGACTGCCGTTTTTCCCTGTCTTCCAGGGGAGTAATACCTAGCCAGGGAGGGGAGATGCAGTTCCCCTCAACCCAGCTGGCGGTCACCTCCTCTTCACCCACCCGTCTGAGGTGGGTCAGGATGACACCGGTCCCTTTAGGACCCTTCCGACAAGGGAAACACGGATCAGAGCAACGCACGATCGTGGTCTCTGAACCGTTGTTGACGGAAGCACCACTGGAAGTCGATAAGAGCAATCTTATAGAGGCTACTCTAGGAAAACTATTCAATAATTTATCTTCAAAAGTAAACATGTTTGAATTAAATGTGAATGAAACAAAAAATGCTTTATGAAGGCTCTGCTCCATTTAAAAGATCACCTACATTTATTGCAAAATTGTAATTATAGATCAGAACTGAAAAAAGGGAATTTGGGGAAAAAAACTGTGGTGTTTTAAATCTGGCCAACTGGATGTTCCATAGAAATCGAATAAACAAAGTATGGTTTGTCTAAGAATGCAGTGATGGTGGCACTGTTATTTGACAGATTCTTTGTTACATGCTGTGGCTGCACCTGAGGGGAAATTCCTTCTGTTCCATTTGTTTTCATGCTGCATACTCTGCACTACCAAATCAGTTTTATTGAACATTGGTGACATTAGAACAATGATGGCCATAACAACAGCATGATTCTAAATAACATAATTTCAAAACTGTGAGCAGATACAATTTTAATAAATAAGGTTCTGTCTTTAAGAACTGTAGATAATTTGGTTACCGTAATGCTAATTCTGGTAATATGTAATTATGAAGACATAGAAAAGTGGGGTGGGTGGGGGGGTGTTGTACTCTCTTTTTGAATAATTGTATTATTATTTGCTTTCCATGGGACATACATTGATAAAGTAATATGTAATCTCTTATGGATCTTGGCAGGTAATGATACATTTCACATTCTATGGTCTGCTTTGGGTTTTTTTTAAAAATATTATTTCCTTAAGTAGAAAAATCAATTGTTTGTTTATTGTGATACAATATAATAAATAGTAAGGACATTTTAAGCTATTTTTTTCAGTTGCTCATTATAAAATTGTTTTTTTTTTTCAGAAGAAGAATTATGTGAACTATTTGAGAAGAAAGAACACTTGCTAGAAAATCTGGAATCTAAGGAGAAAGAATTAAAAGAAGCTCTTGAAATTAGTCAACCAGGCACTGTCAGTGGTATGTATGTAGTGTTTTTCACACTTTCATCATTTATAAATAAAAATTGTTTGTCAGATATATTGCATTGTGTCTTTTTGCTGTAAACTGCTTGGAGTCAGGAGGATTAAAGCAGTATGAATAATAGTAGTAGTAGTATATATTGCAGCAAGCAGATTTACTCAGAACAGCAAACATCCTACTCTAAGCTCTAATATCAAATAGCAGCATCTGTCTATCCCAGTCCTTAGAAAGGACTTGATACAGGGGTGGGATTCAACTGGCATGGGGAGGGCGCACATGCGTGTCAAACATGTGCTGCATGTGCATGCGCACTATTGGTTCCAGCAAGCATTTACCTTCTCCAGCTGACAAGCGGCACTCAGCTGTGTCGCGCAAAGCAGCTGAGGAGGAAAACACAGCCACTAAAGGACAGCCTAGAGCCCGGGCGGGTGGGTGGGCCAACCAGCAGACCAAAACCTTGTCCCAGTGAACCGGTTCAGTGTCAGCTGCTCTTCGGAGCTACCAGTTCTATAGAACCGGACCGAACCGGTAGAATCTCACCCCGACTTGATATCTAGCTAAAAAATGCCAAATTCAGTCTGGTGACTGTGTGACAATACGTAAGATTACATTATACATTATCAAAACTTCAGAACTTTATTTTTTTCTGTCATTGTCATTGACCAATAAAAAATAAAATCAATAAAATGAACAGCTGTCCACTAACAAGAACTGTTAGCAACCATTTGTGGACAAAGCTTACAAATAATGTAGGCAAATTTTGCTACTTTTAGAGAAATAAGTTTAATTTTGATATTTTTTATTTAACAATTATCAGAGTTCCCCAGATATTTAAATAAAAGAGGTGTTATCAATGGGTGACAAACAGAAATTAGGTACACAGATTTGAAACACAGTTTTGATGTTTTCTGGAGTAAGACAATTTACATTATTAGAGAAAAATATTCAGTGAGTGCAAACTGAATTAACAGACTTTGCAGCAATTTGCATAATAATTGCAGCAATTATTATTTCAAAAATAATATTAATGGCTTTTATTTCCAGTCCATATTCAACTTTTGTTAGAAATTAGAAAATTGTGGAAGTAGCTTTTATTTCGTGGCTCATTTTCTTCTCTCATTTCTTGATCATTCAAATTTGATGTATAGAGTGGTATTTCACTCAGGTGAGACTGTATTATAAAATGGGCAATTATTTAAGATTGTAGTGTATACAAAAATGCTATGCCTTATCTTCAGTGGCAGTGCCCAATTAGTCACTGTTTTGATTAAACATTTTGAATGTAGAAAAAATCATCCCAAATCTTCTATAATGAATCTTGAGATTAGGTCAATGCCTATATATTCTAATATATATAAATCAATCTAGCAACCAAGATGAAAAGAGAATTGGATGGAAAAAATGATTAGAAATATTTAGTTGTGTTGGATCTGTTTAGTTGGAAAAGATCGGAATGCAGAAAGGAACAATAGTTGCCTTCAAGCAGACAAAATATTATCATGTAAAAAGTGGAGCAAAGTTGTTCAGAGGCTTTCAGCACAAGAAATAATGTACTGAAATCACAAATAAGTAGACTTCAGTTGGACATCATAAAAAAATTCTGATGATAAAGTTATCTATACTGGAACATATTGCCTTAGTTATCTGTGAGAGATGCTGTCATAGTGGATTTGTAAACTGGGTGTAGCATTAGATTATATAATCTCCATAAGATTGCAACCGCTTGCATTCTATAATTCCAAATATTACAGAATAATAAAATCAGCACTTGATTTCTCAAAAATGCAGGAAATTCCTTACTGAGTATAAAAATATTAAGTACAAACAAAACAAAATAATAATTTTAAGATAATTGTACTAAAATAGCTGCAGGATTATTTGCTTCTTATCCAAAAACAACTGAATAGGAGCTAATAAGCAAACAGATCTCACATCTTTTCTGATAATATCTTGAACTGCAGTACTTATATGAATGCCTACAAAGATGACTGCTTGTTTTTAGATGGCTCAAAAGATGGAATTAGTCATTTTGGAAGCCAGAATTTTGAAAAGACATATCTGTTTATCAAAATATGTATTCTGTTGGTAATAACACCTTTACAAAAGTTTGAATATTAATATTTAATTGAACGGCTTCTACAGAGGTGGAATAAATGAATGAATCACTATTTACAGCTGTTGTCAAATTAGTTAGAAATGTATAAATCAGATATGTATTCAGAAAGTATTATCTAAATCCATTTAGAATAAAATAGCTAAATAATATTGTATGCAGTTATACTTAAGATAATTATTGCAGAATATATATATTATTGTTTTTATTTGGCCTGAAATTATTTTTAGCACATAGACTACAAGAATTAAATGAGCAAAGAAGACATTTAAGTGTAGAACTAGAAGCAACTGTACATGATATACAAAAAATAGAAGATCATGTCTCAGAAGAAGCCTTAATGAGAAGATCTGAGGGTAAGTGGAAAATAAATGCCTATATATCGGCACCTGCATATTTTTCAATGGTGGCAGCATGGAATAAAGCAGTCACTCACTACTGTTCTGTATGCCACTCTAATTTGGTACTCAGATTCTCATCCAATAGGCTTGCTCCCTTCTGAAAAGGAGTCAACAGAAAAAAACCTCCTTTAAGCCATTGTTGCTTGATTGCAAAATATTTTGCAGATAAAATTACTTATATTGTTGATAACACCTGATAAGATAACAAAGACTACATCTTGCAAGGTCACTTGGGATTCTGCTTTTCAGAAGTCAGTACAACTGTTGGTACAATGAGTTTATTTAATTTAAACAAATGTAATTCCCCCCCCCCAAAATAATAATAATAATAATGTAGAATCCTGTAAGCAAGCTGGATTGAAATGAAATGGCTAGAATTACAAGAATTTCAGCAGTATTCCCTAATACAAATTATATATTTCTTAAAGTGGTAGGATGGTGTCTTTCATAAATTCTCTCTCGGGGTTTGATATAGCAAAAAATACCTCTTATAGTTGCAGGGAATTGACTTGTGTAGGTATTGCAAATAAAATTGTTGTGGAAGCCAAAGTTCATGAACATTACTTGCAATTTCTCAGGATTAATATAAGAGTAGCCTTTCAAGTGAATAAAATATTCAATCTACCCCTTTTGTATCTAAAATTCAAAATAAGTTTGATCTTATTCTCTTCCCCAATAGAGACAGCTGATTGTTTCCTGTTATTTTACATTCATTTGAAATTGGGTCATATTCTCTCTGAGGCAAGATACTTACAACTAGAGGGAGGGTGGTTCTCCTGGACTCAGGCTCCTTCTTGATCAGAAAATGGAGGCACTGGCTTGGATAGCTTTTGCCCAGCTTTTGTTGATATGCCACTTGAAGCTTTGTGAGATTGGAAGGCCCTAATTGCAGAGATTCATGCTTTTATTACCACATGATTGGAGTACTATAATACCAGTGGTATATTAACCATTAAGCAGACCAAGCACATGCTTAGGGCACCAGGCCCAAAGGGCACCAGGCCCAAAAACTATTATGTAGCCTAAGCATGGCTTTGTTTGTACAGTGTGTACAAAGGAGGGGGGCACCAAGATTTGTCAGTGCTTAGGGCACCAGTGAGCCTTAATCTGCCACTATGCAGGGATACTTTTGAAGATGATCCAAGCTGATTTTGGTCTGGAATTTGATGACCCAGCTGCTGATGGAAGCAGGCCACTTCAGCAATGTAACTTGTGGGCTGAATTCACTCCTTTGTTTACTAATAACTTTCCTGACACAACTGCTTATAAATCTCTATATGCTTCCATTTTACTTATCTTTAATATTATTTCTCTGGGATAAATTCAGCCTTTAGTGTAAGATCATCTCTGGAGAGAATGCTTAGAGCTGCAACATACAAGAAGTTCATATTTTCTTTGACATCAACATTGTGGAACAGCTCACCCAATGAGTTTTGGTTGATCTCTTCACTGAATTTTTGAAAAGTTTTGAAAAAAGTTTTATTATTACAAAAAACATTTGGTGCTAATGCAAATTTACTTTAGAGGTTTGTTTGTTAATCCTTTTTTCTTTCTAAGGGATTTTTAAAATGTTTTTGTTGTGAAAATTGGTGATCACAGAGAAAGCATGTTTTGGACAAACATGACCTGGATGATTGAGAATTTCCAACAGAGGAAGCCATTTTGAAATTGTGTTATTTTAGTTTTAAATTTCTTGTAATCAGCCTTGGTTTGATCAGATAGTGGTAAATAGGCATAATAAAAATATGTGAGAAATCAAGTTTTTAATTACAGATTTTGATGATAAACATATGAAACAATTTTCAAAAATAACTGTAAAGCATTATTGTTTGTAGAAATAAAACTGCATAAATTACATGCATGGAAGAAGCTTTTATTAGAACATTTGGAATCAAATCTGGAACTACAAGAAGAAATCCAGGCTATGGAACCAGATAATACTACTGGTATATATGTGATAATTCATATTTTATTTCTAATTAAAATATGAGAACATTCTTCTTGAAATCTGTTTGGTTCTATTGATATTATTTGGCAGTCTATAAACTAAAGAAAATTGATATAGAAAAAAATATAGAATAACAGAGTTGGAAGGGTACTTGGGGGTCTTCTAGTCCAACCCCCTGCTTAGACAGGAAACTCTATACCATTTCAGACAAATAGTTATCCAATCTCTTCTTTAAAACTTCCAGTGTTGGAGCATTTACAGCTTCTGGAGGCAAGTTGATTAATTGTTCTAAGTCAGAAATTTCTCCTTAGTTCTAAGTTGCTTCTCTCCTTGATTAGTTTCCACCCATTGCTTCTTGTCCTGTCCTTAAGGTGCTTTGGAGAATAGCTTGACTCCCTCTTCTTTGTGGCAGCCCATGAGACTGTAACACTGCTATCATGTCACCCTTAGTCCTTCTTTTCATCAAACTAGACATATCTAATTCCAGCAACCATTCTTTATAAGTTTTAGCCTCCAGTCCCCTAATCATCTTTGTTACTCTTCTCTGCACTCTTTCTAGAGAAGATAACTTCTTCAGCTTATAATGTATATAAAATTCTTGTTTTCTGGGCATAGAAAATATCAAGTTGAATGCAATTTAATATAATCTTATTGTATATTTCCCTTAAAATTCCCTAGGTTATCAAATTCAGTTTAACATAATTCAAAACTTAGTTAAAACTTTTTTGTGTTTCATCTTTCAGTTAATCTATACAAGAATTATCTGCAGTGATAATTATTTTCATCATCTTAGATCACAGAATTGCCATATGTTTATGAATAAAATTAATTCACTTATCTATAAATTGCCACACGATTAATAATTCTTTAGTCTTCGATAAAACTGTTTCTCATTCATTAAAATGATTCATTTGAAATCTTGTAAGCTTTTTGTCTATTGAGAATAGACATTAGCTTTCTCTTAACTCCCATAAGAGGTCAATTGACTAAAATGTCATATTTCACCTAGAACACCAGTTGATTTGCTCCCTAATTAGTCCTGATTCTTTGTTAAGTCTGGAGAATGCTCTGTATATTCTGAATTCCTAAGAATGGTGGTATTTTTTTCTTCCTGGAAACACTCCATTCCAGAGAGATGCACACCTCTTTGTTTCTTATCCTATACCATAAAAAGTCTGCATGGTTTTTTACAATGTTTTCCCAGCTGAAATATACCTCTTTTCATTTTCTAATATGATGTAGCATGTTTCTGTAACGATTAGAATTATGATAATATTCTACTGCATCGTTTGCAGTCCTTTTTATGAAGACTATCTCTGCAAGATCTGTTGAGCCATTATTTGTTCTTAGCCCTTGACCATCATATGTCATTATCACTTTGATTTTTAATCCTGAAAGGATACATTTTGCAGGCCTGCTACTGGACAGCAGAATTATATGTCTGAATCAGTGAAAATGATTTAATATTAACTGGAATTGTGTTTCTGCTTATTTGTTATAACAAAGTAAGAAAAACATGAAAATGTTTTTAAATGTAATAATTAGTTAATAATTAGTTAAATGTAATAATTTATCAAATTGGCTGCTCTTAACCCTATACATCAAAGACCACATAGATTTTTGTGCTTAAAAAGACAGCCAGAAGAAACCATGGAAAATATGAACAGGAAAGACCTGCAGCCCCTAGACTATAAAATTCATTGTTAAAGGTAGAACAGTTGAAATAGTCGTCTGAAAACATTCCTATATATTTTTAAAAACCCCATTCTGTTCAACATTGCTTCCATATAGGTGGGGATAAAAGTTTATCTGGATCTAATTCTATAAAATGATTAATGCAGTCACTTCATAAAGATATCTTCCTCTGAAGGTTTAAAATCTGTGTTAATATTACTTAAGATTGGATAATATTAAAGATTATCTTAATATCTCTTGTAAGTATATTTTTAATGAAAAGCTTTACATTTTTTATCTAGAAAAAAAGATGGAGGAATTACACGAGCAAAGAAAGGTTTTAATTGAAAACCTGGAAGCAGTTGTGGAAGATATAGATGATACAAAAAGTTATATTTCACAAACAGGAGGAGTTATCAAATATGTTGGTGAGTAAGAAAAGAAATACGCTTAAATCCATGGGTATCCCTAGGACAGATAACACAACTTGCCTCATGAAAGGAATTTCATTCCTTTTAGATAGATAGATAGATAGATAGATAGATAGATAGATAGATAGATAGATAGATAGATAGATAGATAGATAGATAGATAGATATAGAGATAGAGATAGAAATATATAGATATTGATGTTCCCATACACATATTCTTAACAAATGTACCTTTTCTTTATGTATACCGAGAGTATTTACACCAAGACAAATTCCTTGTGTGTCCAATCACACTTGGCCAATAAAGTGTTCTATTCTATTCTGTTCATATCTAAAGGGCAGAGCATGTAATGTCACAATGCATGTTTTGTCATTCTAATAACACCTTCATATTCCTTTCTTTATATTACTTGGATTTTTTTTAATTGGGATAATGATCAGAATGATTATTTTTAAAAAAACCTTTACATTATTTGTAACTATCTGAAAATAACCATATAAATTGATTAAATAATAATAAATAATGATCCACCATTTGACAATCAATTCTAAAGGACTAATAGCATTAGCAATAGCACTTAGATTTATATACCGATTACAGTGCTTTCCAGCCCTCTCTAAGCGGTTTTACAAAGTCAGCATATTGCCCCTAACAATTTGGGTCCTCATTTTACCTACCTCGAAAGGATGAAAGGCTGAGTCAAACTTGAGCCTGGTGAGATCTGAACTGCCAAATTGCTGGCAACTGGCAGTCAGCAGAAGTAGCCTGCAGTACTGCGCTCTAACCACTGCGCCACCATGGCTCATATAATGGTTAAAAACATTTATTTATTTATTTATCAAGAAAATTTATAGGCCATCTTATCTCAAGATAACATGAAGAAAAGATTATTATAAGGACAATAAAATGTACTGTATCAAGAAGCAAACATAATTCATATGCTTCTTCATTTATTTATTTATCAAGAAAATTTATATAACCGCTCAACTCATTCACTTTGAGTGGCTAATAAAACCCTCAATACAAAATTCATTGTTGTCACTCCCTAGTGACAAAACCGTATGTTCAGGGCCTTTTGAAAGTCTCAAAGTGGGGGGCAAATTTATTTTCGCAGGGAACCATAGAGGGGAAGCCACTACAGAGAAGGCCCTCCTTGGTCCTACCAAATGGAATTCCTTAAGAGAGGGTACTCTTAATAAACTTTGCCTCCCAACTTTGGTAAGACAAGTGGACATGGTTCTTGAAATAACCTGGCCACAGGCCATGTAGAGTTTTAAAGGTGACAACCAGCCTCTTGAATTGTAACTAGAAGTAAATTGGCTTCTGCAAGGTGATACATACAGGTGAAACTCGAAAAATTAGAATATCGTGCAAAAGTTCATTTATTTCAGTAATGCAACTTAAAAGGTAAAACTAATATATGAGATAGACTCATTACATGCAAAGCAAGATAGTTCAAGCCGTGATGTGTCCTAATTGAGATGATTATGGCTTACAGCTCATGAAAACCCCAAATCCACAATCTCAGAAAATTAGAATTAAAGTCTACAAGAAAACAAACAAGTTCAGAGAGCACCAAGGGCCCGTTATGTGTATTGTATTGTACGTGTGTGTGTGTGTGTGTAGTTTTATAAGTTATTTTTCACAGTGCATAATATTTAAGATCATTGTAATCACAAAATAAAATTTACATTCCAAACTGCTTCTTTTTTTAATCGTTATTTTTTAGAAAAGGATTTGGGAACACTTTATCAGAAGAAGCAAATGTTTTTGGAACGTTTGGAGTTAAATTTAAACAACCTTCAAGAAACACAGACTGTTGTAGTTACTCATCCAAGCAGCATAAATGGTTGGTATAGAATAGGATTTGGTAGCCCTTGGCTGCTGAATTTGACTGGATGCATCTGATAAATTAGCCTTTTATAGTTTCTGGAACTTACTAGTACCATGATTTCTGAAAATTATTTCCATACGTTTCTGTACATTGGTATAAAAAATATGGAAAAACAATATATCTAAATTACCCCCAAAATGCAGGGAAATTCTTGGTCTCAGCCCTGTATGTGATTGTGCATTATTATTTCATTAATTGCATCCCTTAAGTCCAAAATTACATTCTGATTGCACACTACAGGATCTCCTAAAACGAGTATACTACAGAAGATTGATTTGTCTGTCTACTCGATCACTTGGCAATTTTTGTGAAGAACTCCTAATTAATTCTATTCTGAGTGAACCTCAGTATTATATTTAGTTATAAAAAGTTGCTAGTTAAAAAAGAAAAGTCTTAATGTAATCAAATTTATAAACATAAATTCAAATTATAAATTATAATTTTTTGAAAAAAAATGCAAAAAAAATGTGGCATGAGAATGGATTTATATATTATAGTTAATTCAAAACAGTACCTTGCACTGTTAATTCCCTGGCATTTTCAAATTGTATATTTCTATTTTTACTAAAATATTTTTTGCAGAACAAAAAATAATTGATCTCACAAATGAAAGAAAGCTTTTGGTTGCTGGTCTTGAAGCAGTTATTCAAGATTTACAAGATATGAAGGATATTACTAAAGAAACAGTTAAAAAATCCAAAAGTAAGTATAGCATAAATTTCATGTAATGTCTTCATGTAATGTCACATGCTTTGTGTCTCATCTTCTTTTTGTAAAACTGTTAACAATATGGTTTTAGATTTAATAGTAATTTAATCTGTTAAAAAGGGAAAGACAAAATATCTTCATGAATTTTATTTCATTTAATTTTCCAACCAAATTTGAATTTGAAAAATTTGTAAGTTGATGTGTGGGTTTGTGTGAGTGAAGTATTAATAGCTACAGGATAATAGGAGGGAAGGGTGAAAATTGGGCCTATCTTATCTGGCTAGGAGATAACATAAAAAGCTCATAAAAATCTCTCATCTAGAGAAAGGTGATTTGACATCTTTTCTAAAATAGAGAAAGTCTGTAGTTAAAGCCAATATATGTCTCAAGGACTAAATCTTGCATTCTCAGATGATTATTCTTCTTTTTTTTTCAGAACAGCTTTTGGAAGCACTATGTGAACAAAAAGGGTTGTTATTGGAAAAGTTGTCATCAAATCTGAAAGATTTGAAGCAAACACAGGCTCTTGCAGTTGCTCAACCGGGCAGTATTAATGGTAAGTATTTTGTAAGATATAATAATGAATAAGTTATAGTAATTATTTATAACTATAAATAACAAAAATAACAATCATAAAATTATTTTTAATTATTCAAAAGGGCTAAAATATTACTACAATAATTAATTTTATCAAAAGCCAGTTTGATATAGTGGTTAAAGAATTAGGCTTGAAACCAGCAAATGGGAATTCTAATCCCATTTTAGGCTGAGTGACATTGCACACAAAAAAAATATATCAAAATTTCTGAGCCGTAGGAAGGAGGCAGAGACAAACAACTTCCAAAAATGTTGCCAAGAAAACTGCAACAACTTGTCCAGACAATCATCAGGAGTCAAGATTGGCTTGATGGTGTGAGCACATAAATATTTACTATCATACGGGTGCATTTCTTTGTATTTTAAAAGCAGTTTAACAGATCAATCCTAAAATGAAGAAAAATACCAATACTACTACTAGTGCTTTGTTGTATGAAAAATGGAAAAAATGTAGTTTTTCTTCTGGTACTTTTCAATAGCTGTTGGCCTTTAAAACTAAAGTTTATAGGAAGGAGTCTGTTGTCCTTTCCTATTTCATAGATGCTCTTTTCTTTTTGTATTCATTAGGAAAAAAAGAAGGGAAATAACTGTCAGTTTAAGATTAGCTAGGTGAATATAGATATAACTTTATTTAATTTACCCAAGAGCTTGCTCTTCCTGAGACCATCGTCTGTGAACTGTCCTTAAATATCACATTTCAATTCTTACTATGTTACAGAGCCCCTGATTATGACATCGAACATGTAAACAAGTTAAATTCATTACTAACATGGGCAACATCCTGCCCACACGCTTTTATCTTTCTTGGTGACCTCAATCTACCTCATATTAACTGGACCCTAAACGAATGTAAAGCTGAACTCATACATGCAGCCTTCTACAATGAGTATAGTATATAAAATCATACATTGCAATGTCCTACCTGTCAATGAATACTTCAGCTTCAACCATAACAATACAAGAGCACACAATAGATACAAACTCAAGGTTAAGAGCACCAAACTTGATTGCAGGAAATACAACTTCAGCAACAGAGTAGTCAATGTCTGGAATACTCTACCTGACTCTGTGGTTTCTTCCCCAAACCTAAAAACTTTAACCTTAGACTGTCTACTATTGACCTCACCCCTTTCCTAAGAGATCTGTAGGGGGCGTGCATAAGTGCACCAACGTGCCTACCGTCCCTGTCCTATTTCTTTTTATTTTTCTTATATGTATTCATTTCATGTATTCATAACTATGTTTATACATAGTTATATTACCTTATAAGCGATTGACAAAATAAAATAAATAAAATAAATAAATAAATAAACTTTTTTGTGTGAACAAGGAGGCTGTAGATATCAGGTCACCACCAATCTAGTCCCAAATCACTTTTATTCCCAATTCTCTATCAGAATGCCTTTTGTAGAATATACAATAACTACAGTATAAAACTGTGAAAAAATGTTTTTCTGTTATTATAGTAAAGTATTATATTATATATGTTAAAGGAGGGATTTACTTATTTAGCTTCATAAGTTATCAAACTTTTAGGCAGTGTGCAGAATAAAGACACATCATAGAGGGATGGATGGATGGATGGACCGAAAGACTGGTGTGTATGTTTGTATTTCCCACTAGTAGAGAGCATTGGTGAGAAATGCACTTAAATAGCAATCTGTTCTCTACCAGTTGGGATCATAAATCAATGTGGCTTCTGGCTTGTTTAAAAAAAAGTTTTTAGAGTTTTCTAAAAGAATTTGTGTCCTAAACACTCCAGTAGGAGGGTATTCCAGGGACTGAGATAATGAGAGAGAAGTCACAATTCTGTTTATTTGGTGAGACCTGAAACATAAATACCTTGGATAGTGCAGAGATCCCCAATCCCTGGGCCATGACCAAGTATTGGGCAGTGATCCATTCGGAACTGGACCACAAAAGTGGTGGATGAGTGCATGCATGCATGTGGTTCCAATTGCGAGAGCAGCAGATGTGTATGCACACATACATATGCAGCTCCATTTGTACAAGTGGTGGGCACACCTGCCTGCTGCTAGCACAAATGGAGCTGACCACTGCTCATGCAGAACCATACCCTCCCCCCCACTGGTCCGCAAAGCAGGAAAAATTGGGGAATGCTGGCCTAATGTGACTATCAAGCTGGTAGACAATAGCATGACTGCATCTCAAATGATCCATCTGTTAAAATACTGAAGTTTGCTGATGACACAACAGTGATTGGTCTCATTCGAGACAACGATGAATCTTCATACAGACAGGAGGTTATACAACTTGCCTCGTGGTGTAACCGGAACAATCTGGAACTGAACACACTGTTTTTAAGGAAGTATGATATTTAATTGAAAAGAAGTGTTAAAGATGTTAAGATTTTAATGATTATTAATGATAGAACTGAACTGGAATGGAATGAGGGTTTATAATTACATATATTTACAATCTTTCTTTCTTTTTTTAAAGAATATAGTGTGTATTATAAGAATGTACCAAGCAGAATTCGATTGGAAGTTATGTATTATGTATTATATTGAAGGTCATAAACTTAAGGTATATATTGAAGTTTAAATAAGAGATGAATGGATGTAATTAAAAGATATAAAGGTGTCATACTCCAATTAGTAACTACAGGATAAATTTTGTTTAATGAGAAAAGATAATATGAAATTGAAACAGAACAGACAAAAGTATAAATATAATGATTTGAATTGAGATGAGATAATCAAATAAAATTGAGAAAATTAAAAGGGGAAAAACTATATAGAAAATGTAAAATAGTATAAGATATGGAATAGAATACAAAAAGGAGCATGAAATTGAGTTTTGTGTCTGTATAAAGAAGTTCAACCCAGGACCATGCTATTTTCAAAAAAGATGTTTTACTTATATTTTGTGTGTGAAAACCCAAATAAAACTTTATTTAAAAAAAAACAGTAGAGACCTTCAAATTTCTAGATTCTATTATATCACAAGACCTAAAATGGACACCTAATATCAAAAACGTTATCAAAAAAGCACAACAAAAATGTTCTTTCTGCACCAACTCAGAAAGCTCAAACTGCCCAAGGAGCTGCTGATACAGTTCTACAGAGGAATTGTTGAGTCTGTCATCTGCACTCTATAACTATCTGGTTTGATTCTGCAACCCAACAAGACAGACACAGACTTCAGAGAATAATTAGGACAGCAGAAAAAACAATTACTACCCACCTGCCTTCAACTGAGGACTGTATACTGCATGAGTCAAAAAGAGGGCGGTGAAAATATTTACAGACCCCTCACATCCCAGACATAAACTGTTTCAAGTCCTACCCTCAAAACGATGCTAGAGTACTGCACACCAGAACAACCAGACACAAGAACATTTTCTTCTCAAATGCCATCACTCTGCTAAACAAATAATTCCCTCAACACTGTTCAATTATTTACAAAGTGTGCACTACTATTACTGTTAATCTTCTCATCACTCCTTATCACCCATCCGTTCCCACTTGTGATTGTAGGACTGTAACTTTGTCACTTGTATCCTTACGATTTATATTGACTGTTTCCTAGTATGATTTGAGTGTTGATTGTACCCTATGACTATCATTAAGTGTACATTACGATTCTTGTTTCTTAACAAATGTATCATTTCTTTATGTATACTGAGAGTATTTGCACCAAGACAAATTCCTTGTATGTCCAATCACACTTGGCCAATAAAGTATTCTATTCTATTCTATTCTATTCTATTCTATTCTATTCTATTCTATAAGGCTTAACAGTCAGAAATAGTTAATTATAGTATAAAATAAAACCACATTTCTTCTAAATTTATATATCTCCCCAGTGACAATCCCAAAAGCCTGTTTCTATGTGAATCATAGACATTGTAGCTAGTATATTTTATTCTCTTCTGCTGTATCTGAAGAGAAAGAAGATAGCTAATAATTTTTAGTTTCCTCATTGTCAAGGGTATTCTGAAATGCTCAATTTCCCCAAACCTGTAAAATTATTTATAATGTTCCTTTCCAAAAGGTAGCCCTCCTATTTTCATATTTTGTGTTTGACATGAAATATATTTCATTTTTAGAGCAAAATATACAAGAACTCAATGAACAAAGAAGGCTATTGTCTATAGGCTTAGAGGGAATTGTACAAAATATTCAACATATACAGAATCTTAAATCAAGCGAAACCGAACTATTAACACCCGGTGGTAAGTACAGAATTAAAATTGTTATCAGATGGGGCTTTTCAAATGAACCTTTTTATCTATCTCATGTGTGAAAGAATATCATCTATGAAACTATTCTACCAAAACTGAAATCTTGTTTTTGTTTTGTCTCAAATTCCACACTATTGAAAGATGTATTTTCCAGAAGTATTATGGAGATTCTCTGAATGCTTCTTAAGCAACCCCTTTTCATAAAATTATTCCAATGTCTAGCCAACTAGCCATGCAATTTGATTTCTATCTATATTTTTAATCTTGTATTCTACATAAAAGTAGAAGTATTTTTTAATTTTTATTTTACTTAGAAAATTAAAATACAAATTCAAAAAGACACTTTATAAAAAATATCAAAAATGGATAAAATATTTTTAAAATGTGCATTAAAAAGGATAAAAAGCACATATACATATATTGCTCCCCCCCCCCCCGTTGCTTACTGTAAATGCTGTATATTGCAACTCCCCTTTGCAAAGCCGTTTTGCAGTCTATTTACAATCAACTTGGTGTATTGTCTATCTACTATATGTAAACAGACAAACAGGTAAATCAACAACAAAGTTAAATTTCAGAGTCCTTTGTTATTAATCTGTTATTGTATTTAACTCACGGAAAGTCTATAAGAAAGTTTCTTATATGCCACAAATCATCACAATCATTATATCTGATCCATCCAGGACCAAATATCTTAAATTGGCTCTTAATAATAAAATTTTCCCTTCAGATTTTTATTGGGAACTTTCTCAACAATTTTATCTCATCTTCCAGTATCCTAAACCTCTGCTGTAAATACCTCTGCCATCTTCATTGTTGAAACAGTCTCTCTTTGAACCAAAATACAAAATATTTTTTCAGCTGTTATCTAGTTAGATATAATAAGTCCATTTTTCAAAATCAATTGTCAAAAAGGTCCAGTCCAAATTGTTTTCAGTTGGGTATAAAAAGTCCATCTTCTTAAGAGAGTCCGATTAATCACTTATCCAATCTGCCAATTGTAAGTCTGTATAATCCAGATCTCCTTCAGTTTTCTGCAACATGCCTTCTGTTTTCCTGCTAAACTGCTTCTTTTTCAAATCTTCCAGGATTTAGATTCCAGTCCATCCAATTTTAAGTCTTGCGTAGCTACAATGGTTTGCATCTGGGTATCCTCTTTAAGTTGATTTGAAACCGCGGTAATTTTATCAAACTTTTAACCAAAGTTTTCAATTTGAGCTTGTAAATTAAAAAGATTTTTTCAAAGCCTTCCTACCAGGTTTTATCTTTAATCTGGTGCATTATTTGCATTTTTAAATATGCAGCAAACTTTCCTTTATCGGGTTTACACAAGCAAAGAAAAAAACAATTCAAAGACAAAAATGTAACAAAATAGCCGCAGAGAACATCAAAATAATCTCACATTGAAGGTATGAAGAAAAGAAGAAAAATAAAACGTTCCATCAAAAATCAAAAAGAAAAAAAATCTGTACCAAAACTTTGTAAGAGTTAAACCTTGTAGTGAAATCTAATACAACTAATCCTCAACTTACAGCAGTTCATTTAGTGACCGTTCAAAGTTACAACAGCAGTGGAATAAATGACTTAAGGTTGTTTTCACACTTACGACTGTTGCAACATCCCCATGGTCATGTGATCAAAATTCAGACACTTGGCTGCTGACTCATATTTATTACAGTTGCAGTGTCCCAAGATCATGTGATCACCTTTTGTAACTTTTTTACAAAGTCAGTGGGGAAGCTACATTAACAACTGGGTTACTAATTTAAGAACTGCAGTGATTCACTTAACAATTGTGGCAAAAAAGATTGTAAAATGGAGCAAAATTCACTTAACAAATGTTTCGCTTAGCAACATAAATTTGGGGCTCAATTGTCATAAGTCAAAGACTACCTGAATTGTCATAAGTCAAAGACTACCTAAATCCATTCAGGTTAATTTCACTACTCAGAAAATTGCAGTTAGCTTCCATAAGCTTCAAACCCCTCCCCCCTCCAAAAATACCAGTGAAGAAACAAAATAAGGTTGATGTTAAAATCCAGCAAGTGCTTAGAACAAATAGCCTTCAACCAGTCAGATGTCTATGGAGATTCTCAGTCATCCAGGCTGTGGCCCACTGGTGGTCTGCAAGAAAATTGTGGTGGTCCGTAGAGAAATGTCACCCCCAGAGCACCACCCCAAAGCAATTAATCCAGGCTGCGGGGGAACACAAGGCTGCACTGCCCATATGGCCCATGGGAACACAAGGCTTGCGTCACTTGCATTGGGAACAACACGAGGTAGTGAAGGGAGGGCGGAAAGGGCAGAGGGGGATCTTGCCTGGCCACCGGGTTGCTTCTTCCTCTTCTTTCTTTCTTCTGCTTTTGGCTGCACGCAAAGAAAGCAGCAAAAGTCTTTCTCTCCCCCAAACTCCACCAGAAATGAGTCTTTGGGACCCTGCAAGGCATTCTGCTCCAAGAGGCTGCACCGGTTAAGACTCATTTCTGGCAGAGTTTGGGGAGAGAGAGAGAAAGACTTTGGATGCTTCTGATGCTTTCCTTGCATGAAGCCTGAGAACAGAGCTCAAAAGCAGGTTAGGAATGTGGCTGCCTTGGAGAGGGTGGGGGGTGTGAGGGAGAGAGAGAAAGAGAAAGAAAATCACCAGCCTTCGAGGTTAGATCGGATCTCTCTCTCTCTGTCTCTTTCCCTCTCCCTCCCACCAATCTTTTATTCCCACTGAACGTTCTGAATATTAATTATCTACAATAGTTTGGTTACACACAGTACAAAGTAATGTATTGGTTAAGAGGTTGTACTGGGAGAGGGGAGGATCTAGATTTACCCTCAGCCTTGCTGCTGATACTTCTAGATTAATGCTTATGCCTCTGCTGAGGTTGCCTTTTGAAGAACAAGATTGCAGCTGTTGACTTTTTCTAAGTAAATTTCATTTACTTCAGAATGAAATAGAAATCTAGTCCAGAACCTCATTTAAAATGTATTTATTTATTTGTTTGTTTGTTTGTTTGTTTAATTTATATTGCCGCCTATTCACCCATGACGACTTGAAGCGGCTTACAGAATGTAAAACTATATTTAAAACTAAAAAACAATAAAAACTAACAAAAAGAATCAAATAAATTAATAAAGTATACTAGAACAAAATCTGGGGACAAAAATAAATAAAAAATAACTCCCCAACTCCCACCCCGCTGCCCGAGCAGTAAATCACATGAGCCATTTGATGGGCTCCATCCTGCTCTGGGTTCCTCAGGCCCGCTGGCAGAACGAGGTCTTCAGTGCCTTCTGGAAGAGTATTAGAGAAAAGGCCATTCTAATCTCTGGATGAATGATGTTCCAGAGAGAGGGAGCCACCACAAAGAAGGCCCTTCTCTGGCTCCCACCAGGTGTATCTCCCTCAGGGATGGGACCTGCAGCATTCCCTGTCTCCCTGCTCTGGTGGGTTGGGTAGATTGACTGGCAATATACGTTCCCTCAGATAACCGGTCCCAAGCCATGAAGGGCTTTAATAGTGACAACCAGCACCTTGAATTGCACCCAGAAGCAAATCGGCAACCAATGCAGCTCCCGCAAAAGAGGTGATACATGTGCACACCAGGGTCTGCACAAAACCATTTGGGCCACTACATTTTGCACCAATTGGAGCTTCTGGGTGGTCTTCAAGGGCAGCTCCATGTAGAGTGCATTGCAATAATTAAGACAGGAAGTGACTAGGGCATGAGTGACTGTGATTAGGGATTGTTGGTCCAGGAAAGGGCGTAATTGGTGCACAACCCGCAGTTGCGCAAAGCCCTTCCTGGCCTGACTGCCACCTGCTCTTCAAGTAGGAGTCATGAATCCAGGAAAACCCTTAGATTACGCACAGGGCCTGTTTGGGGTAGTGCCACTTCATCCAAGACCAAAGGTGGTAATTCTCCCTGAGCCAACAAACCCCAAACCCAGAGCCACTTGGTCTTTCAAGGGTTTAGTTTCAACCCATTGTTCCCCATCCATCCCCTAATAGCCTCCAAGCACTGCGAGAGGGAGGACACAGCAACATTTGACTCACCACAGGTTGAGATATACAGCTGAGTATCCCCCAAAAGGGAAGATTGGAGACAGGTAAATTATCCTACCAGATGGAGTCCAGCGATGGCTTCTTAAGAAGAGGGCGGACCACAGCCTCCTTAAAGTGCTGGAGCACCATCCCCTCCTGTAGGGAAGCATTAATCACTGCCAGAGTCCACCCACCTGTCACCTCCTGGGAAGCTTTCACAAACTAGGAGGGACATGGTCTAAAACACAGGTGTTTGCACTCATACTCCGTAGGATCCTGTCCATTTCCTCAGGAACAACATGATCAAACAGTTCCCAGATAACAGGCCAAGAACCTGCCTTAGGAGCTTCCATTGGACCAGCAACCATGCCAGTATCTAACTTGGAATGAAGTTGAGCAATTTTGTCTTCCGGAAAATCTGCAAATTCCTCAGCATGCCCCTTCATGTGAACCTCAATCTCCTCCTTCCCCAGGAGGAAGAGGCTCACTTTAAAGAGGGTTGCTGGGCAATTATCTGCAGACGCAATTAGTGTGGAGAAGTATTTACACTTTGCTGCACGAATCACCATGAGGTAGGCCTTAGTAGCAGCTCTTACCCGGGTTCAATAAGTTCATCTGTCTTCTGCCAGCGGTGCTCTAGATGACTCCTCATGCATTTCATCTCTGTCAGTTCCTCTGTATACCACGGGGCACAGAGAGGTCTACGGGTGAGGAGAAGTCGCAAGGGAGCAATCCTATCCAGAGCCTCAGTCACCTTCCTATTCCTAACAGTGACAAAGAACTCGGCTGGACTGCACAATAGATCTGCAGTTATAATCTCCAACTCCTTCTGGAACCCATTCTGGTCTATTAGTCAATGGGGGCGGACCAATCTAATTGGTCCTGCCTTCATGTGGGGGGGGGGTGCAGCTTTTGAGAAACTCATTGCCACCAACCATGACAAGGGGACCAAGGACAGGTCCACCAATTTGAGGTCAGACACTGCTCCGACAAGAACACCAAATCGGGTGTGTGACCACTATTATTAGTAGGGCTCTGGATGATCTGGGACAGGCCCATGGAAGTCATGGTTTCCATGAAATCTCCATCCCTGCCCCGAGAGAAGGCAGGTTGAAATCCCTCAGAACTGTAAGCCTGGGGAATTCCATCCTAGCTGTAAACCTAACCCCAACCCTGCGGTCATGTCCAGGAGCCTCGGTAGGGAAGCTGTCATGCAGCAGGGAGGCTGGTACAGCAGCAGCAATCCCACCTGATCCCTTGAGTCCAACCTAAGAAAAAGGGTGTCATAGCCAGGCACTTGTGGAACAAGATACTCAAGATCTGATCAATTGTATTAATTATTGACCTTCAGTTGAATCTGCTATGTAGCTGGTTTTTATTCTAAACTAGGAAAAGAATGTTCACTTAAAGAAGGCATGTATCTTACTTATAAAAGAAAGTACTATTGCTATTTTATTGGCTTATTTTTCTTTGTGCTTATTTCACATTGATTGTAGCTTCCTCATAAATACAATAGTTTTAGGCCTGCTGTGAAAGGGATTGAAAGTATCAGAAATAAGAATCAAGTAAGATAAAATCTTGCTTTCCTATGGGATTCCTTCACATCAGCCAGTAAATAAACTTCCGGGTAAGATGATAGCATGATATTTTGAATCTTTTAGGCTAATAATTTTAAACTATTTCCTTTTATAGAAATACAAGCATTATCTGAGAAGAGAAAGTTATATTTGGGTAATATGGAATTAAATCTGAAAGATTTGAAAGTTTTGCAGGCCGCTGCAGTTACGCAACCAGATAATGGTAAATAATTAATTTTTAGAATGTTAATATACTAGGCACTTTTCTGTTTTCTCAGCAGTATTTTTTAAGATGAAAAATCTTCAGTATGTTTTTGGTGGACAAATAGTACTGATGATGATAAAAATAATTCTTAATTTGGTGCGGGGAAGCATCCAACAATAATTAATTCCCCTTATAGCCTAGGAAAGCAGGAATCATATCTTAATTATTTTTTAACTTGATGAAATGGGATTACTCCTTCCTTTCTCATAAGTGTCCTCCAAGTTTTTTGGTGCAGTTTTCTGCAAATATCTGCTGGGAGAATTAGGAATTGATAAAAAATTGCCCCTGTTCTTTCTCTGATGACAGGTTTCTGTCTCTCACTATACATCATATAGCTAGAATTAGAATTGGCATTTCAAATATTTCTCCATTTCTGTATTACCATTTCTGAATAGCTATATAACAAAAGGATCCAGCAAACTTTCACTTGCTTTTTAACCTCCCAAACAGATAAGTATTTTACTAGTACAGGATACCAGCCCATAGATCAATTCTTGATATTCTTCTGATCTATTTAGAATCTCTTATGCTACTTCAGATGTTTGTTCCAGCTATTATAAAATCTTACACTTTTCTCAAATTTATTTTACTCAATTAGCATTTGAGTGATGCGTTGCTACTCTTGAATTTTTGGTGTTTTTGTAAACATTATTATGATATTGATAGTTTAATGTGTTTTCTTTCAATTGTTTTATTATATTACATCTTAACCTCTAGATATTGCCTTCCAGTCTATTTCTATGGAGTACATTTCTAAAAATTTTAATAGTAACATGGATGTTCCTTTTGTGCAGAACAGATAATTCAACAATTAGCTGAAAAAAAAATAATATTGTTTGGCAATCTGGAGAGAATTATTCAAGATGTGGAGCAAGAACAGAACTCTGATTTAGAAAAAGGGTTGATGAAAAGATCTGATGGTAAGTGTTTAAAATAAAATTGTAGGGTAATCTATTAATGTTAACTGACCTAGAAAGAATATTGTCATTGATTTTCATTCCTTTCATTTCTTTGTCTTCTCTAATATTCCTATTCAACACTTCCAATGTTAACACAAACAGCAGGGGCGACAGTGGACAACCTTGTCTTGTCCCTTTTCTTATATCTATAGATTCTGTTAGTTCTCCATTTACCATAACCTTTGCAGTTTGTTCATAGTATATCGTTTCAATGGCTTGAATGAATTTTTTACCAAAGCCCATTTGTTCCAATTGCAATAACATAAATCGCCAACTCACGTTGTCAAAGGCTTTTTGTGCGTCCAAAAACATCAAAGCCATTTGCTTCTCGGGATGTGCCTCATAGTATTCCAGAGTATCCAAAATAATTCTCACATTGTCTTTGATTTGTCTCTTTGGCAGGAATCCATTTTGATCAATATAGATAAAGTTATTTAAATATCTTTTTAGTCTTTCTGCCAAAATTGAAGCAAAAATTTTATAGTCTGAATTTAATAGGGATATAGGTCTGTAATTTTTAACTTGCTGCAGGTCTGTATCCTCCTTCGGTGTAAGTGTAATATAGGCTTCTGTCCATGTTTTGGGTATTCTTTTCTTTAACATAACTTTGTTCACAACTTCTAATAGGTGAAGATTCAATATTTCCTGGAAGGTCTTGTAAAATTCCTCTGGTAAGCCATCTGGACCTGGTGCTATTCCAGCATTCTGTTTTTTTAAAGCTTCTGTTAATTCCATCGTTGTTATATTCCCTTCTAGCATTGTTTCAGTATCTTTAGGTATCTGAGGTAAATTCGCTTTCTGTAAATATTGCTTAACTTTTTCTTCTTGAATATTCTCTTGAAAATACAATTTCCCATAGTAATCTTGTATAATTTTTTTCTTCTCCTCATTCCCATAGCAAGCATGTCCTTCTTCATTTATTAGTTAGCTAATCCTTCTTGATTCTCTGTCCTTTCTCAGTTTATAGGCTAGCCATCTGCCTGGTTTCTTTGCATCTTCAAAATAATTCTGTTTAGCATTTTTAATTTTTTGTGCTAGTTCCTCTTTTTCCATTAGTCCCATTTTATGTTTAATTATATCCATTTTATTTTTAATGTCTTTTTTTGTGGGGACTTCTGTAGATCTTTTTCCATTTTTTTATAATCATCCTCCAATATTTTGAAAGTCTTTTTCTGCTTTATATTCCTTTTCCTTGTATAGTCTATTATCAAGCCTCTTGTGTAGGCCTTCATCGTGTCCCAGAGGTTCTGTAGAGATGTATCCTCTTTTCTATTTTCTTTAAAAAAGAAAGCAAGTTCTTTCTCTATTTTCTGTTTAAAGACTTTTTCTTGTAATATTGTATTATTTAGGGTCCATCTAGATCTCCTCTTATATCCTTTCCAAATAACTGTCACTGGATTATGGTCTGTCCAAGTGCTTGTTTCTATTTCAGCCTCTCGTATGTTGGCCAGTAACTCTGCTGACATCCATATCATGTCTATTCTAGACCATGAAGCATGTCTGTTTACTCTCCACATTCCTCTCTCTCCATGCATCTTTTAAGTTGAATTCCTCTGTTATTCGAAAGAAAGATTTTGGTAGTATTTTTCCAGCTTTCTTTGTTGATTTCTGCGTTTTGTAGTCCAACCGATCATTAACTATTCCATTAAGATCTCCCATCATACAGATATTAACATAGTCCAATTCAATTATTTTCATATGTAATTTCCTGTAAAATTCTTCTTGGTTATCGTTTGGAGCATAAATTGCAATTAAAAGTATTTTAACATTATTGTCCATTATTTCCACCATCAAAATCCTTCCATTGTTATCAGTGTAACTTAATTCGAAAATTGTGTCTTTAATATATAAAACCACACCTCTTTTTTTAGATTGTGCCAGTGATATAAATAATTTCCCTAATTTTTTTTGTTTCAGTATATATTCATGTTGTTTTTTTAATATGTACTTTTTGTAAGCAAATTATATCAAATTTTAATTTCTCTAATTTATGAAATACTTTCCTTCTTTTAGTAGCCAAATTAAGTCCATTTATGTTAATCGTAATCAATTTTCTTTCATACATGTTAAGCTTTGTGAGGGGCTTTTATTGGTCTAGTAGGTCTTAATTCTCGTTGCTCTCTGGGTACACCACCTACTGCACTTTCTTCTTTCTCTTTTCAATTACTGCTATACAGTCCTCTTGGATTTCAATTAGTGACTCTTCCTTTCTAGCTTCTTCCCCCTTTCTTCTGAAATACTCTAAGTAGAATAGTTCAGCTTTTTCAACTGTATCAATTCTGTGTCTTTGTTCCTGCCAGGTGAACAAGAGGCCTTCTGGCATCAGCCATCTGTAATTTACTCCTCTTTTAAGTAACTCTTTAGTAAAAAATAAATATTCTCTTCTCATCTCTCTTTCTCTTCTTGGTACCTGTTTCAGCACCACAATTTCTTTATCTTTGTACTTTAAAGTTTTCTCTCTTGCCACCTGCGGTATCTGTGTCTTAATAATCTTTTTAGTGAATCTGATATGAACTTCTCTTGGTAGTCTGTTTCTCATTGCATATCTTGTATAGACACGGAACACTTCATCTATCCCACCCATCATCTTCTCTTTAGTTATCTCTAGCACTTCTGCCAGTATTTCTGTCATTATTTCAGCAAGATTTTCACCTTTTCCTTCTTCTATATTTTGAAATTTTAAGTAGAATTCTGATCTGTCAATTTCCCATCCTAATAGGTCGCATCTGCCCTTCTCAACATCGCTCAATCGAGTATCAATATCTCCAATTTTCTTGTCCCTTTGTGTATCTTCTTCTTCAATTTTTTTTAAAATCCATCTTCATATTGCATCATCATCTGTTGAATATTTTCTACTTTCTCATCTGTCTTTTCAATTTTTTGCTTGATATTCTTCATTCTCTTTTCAATCTTCTGAATTCCTTGCATAATCATCTGTAATGTCACTTCCTTCTCTTTCTCCTGTTGTAAGATTGTCTGTATTGACCGTTGTCCTCCAGATGGTGAAGAGGTTATTGGTATTGAGAAAGCTGGTGCTGTTGTCTTTCTGCTCATCTTGTAGTGCTTACCTTCAGAGAGGGAGAAAGAAAAAAGAGAAAAGGAAAAAGAAAAAAGAAAAAAAAAGGAATACAGGCAGGCGATTGCCACTCCCCCCGCAAAAAAGGGGGCGTGCATAAGCGCACCAACATGCCTAGTGTCCCTGTCTTATTGTTTCTTTTATTTTTATTTTTCTTATATGTATCCATGTATTCATAACTATGTTTTTACTTATACCTATTATTTTGTAAGCAATTGACAAAAATAAAGAAAAAAAGAAAAATCTTCAGGCACTTACGTACCTTAATTCAATTATTTCTCTTAATAAAAGAGAGAAAAGGAAGAAGATAAAAATTAAAAAAAAGAAGTAAAAAAATTACGTTCTAGTTTCTGGAATAGAAGGTTAAAATCCAAATATAAAAATCCAACTGAGGGGGGAGGAGTAAAACAGGAGATGGAAAATAACCTAAAGTTAAGCCAGCTATTGCCACTGAGTATCCAAGGCTCTTTAATAAATCAACTCAATGTTTCTAGTTCCAGTATTTTCAAGGTCACTTCAATCTTCTTTCTTTCAACTTCAGCTCAAAGCTCTAATTATTTAGTTTCACAGATGGGCACCTGTATAAACAATCTGCCATGCTCATCCCACTATCTTTTCCAGTGCAAAGCTCAGAGTCCTTGAGTCCAGCGCTAGTTTTTTTCCCCTTCACTTTCACTCCCCCCTCATGTATCCAATACAAGAAACGAAAAGAGAAAATGGAATCCTTCCCTTTTCTTGAAAAAAATAAAACTCAAATCCAAAAGAAGAGTCTTAATCAAAACAGACTTTCAAAAAGTTGTTAAAAAAAAAACAAAGATGGAAAATTTGAAAGAAACCAATCCAGTTTAAAGTTCAGTAACTTTTCCAAATTCAAAGTTCCAATAAAAAGGGAAAAGGAAAAAACTTTCACTTTAACTAGCTTAATTTCGCCGCTTAAACTCTTTTCTCTTCACTTTTAATTTCACTTTAAATCTTTCAGGATGTTCTCTTCAAGCAATAATAAGTAAAAATTCATCTCACCAAACTGACACACTTTTCAATCTCTTCCGTTCTGGAGCTGTCCCAGCTTCAGCAGCTTGAATGGCTGCCTCTCCGCCTCCGGCAAAAGGGCTTTCCCCAGATCAACCAGGGACTTTGCGATGTCCCTGGGATTGACAGGATGTCCCCTAATCAATCACCGTCTCTAGGGGACAGTTTAGGTCCGTCGGGACCATCCAGCAGTGGAGATATCGATGGCAATCTTGGAGGATCAAGATTGCATGTTGTACTGCCATGACGCTGGCTCCGCCCTCCAGAATGTTTTTAATTATTGTTCATGCAAATAGGGAGTTTTTTCTTATTTCCACAACAAGTCATGCTATTCATGCAGTAGTTTCTGGGTTACAGGTTACCTTTCTTTTGCTTGTTGAGAAATGCAGATATAAAGATTGCTTCACTTTTCCATTTCAAAATAAAAGAAAGAAACTGAACTTTACTTTTAAATGCAATGTTTTAACCAAAAATTGAATCTGTGTATTTCTACATTTCTAGAGAGAGAAATACATGAGCTGCTAGTGTTTTCAGCACTAGAATCAAAATGTTATGAACTGGAAGAAATGGGGATTCTTTCATATAATCAGCTGGATGTTATCAGTAAGTACAGAATTAAGCCCTGAAGCATGTACAATATTTCATGATGAAAGAAAAGTTCTTTAGAAGATAACCTATACAATCGCAATCTATTTAATGAACATATATTTATTTATTTAAGAAAATTGTTATTGTAAAAAGAATTTTAAATATATTGTTTCTTTTATTGTCATTTATTGTAATCTAGAAAGGAAAGTGAACGATTTAAAAGAAAAAAGAAAGAGTTCATTTTATGGACATCATTTACTTTATCCCAAAGAATATCCAGTAGAAAATATGCTTGAGAGTAAGTACAAACAGTGGTATAATATTAAGTTAGAGGTAGTCCTTGACTTACAGCCACAACTGGCACAAAATTTCTGTTGCTAAGCAAGACAATTAAGTGAATCCTGACCCATTTTATGATCTTTCTTGCCACAGTCAAGTGAATCCCTGCAGCTGTTAAGTTAGTAACATGATTCTTAAGTGAATCTACTTTCCCCATTGACTTTGCTTGTCACAAGGTTGCAAAAAGTGATCACATGACCCCAAGGCACTGCAACTATCATAAATATGAGCCAGTTGCCAAGTGTCCAAATTTTGATCAGTGACCATGGGGATTCTGCAACAGTCATAACTATGAAAAACAGTCATAAGTCATTTTTTCAGTGCCATTGTAACTTTGAATAGTCACTAAATTGAACTGTTGTAAGTAAAGGAGCACCATTATTTTATTTAATATATAAAAATGAATCCGGTAGCCATCAATTTCAACATAGCAATCAAATTTCTGCTTTTAAGCATGCATCTATGGACTTAATTTTTAATTAGTTTGGACCATATCCATAATTTGGAACTCTATTTAAGTAATCCCTCACCCCCATACACACTGATTTTATATTGGTAACGTGATGAAATAATGGCCCATAAAATTAGTTTTAGCTTTTTCGTTCTGCTAATCCTGAAAAGATAATTTGGGTATTATTAGGTGGTTTTTGTAGAAGTAAGCTCTGTAAATATGTCACTTTTTAACTTAGTGAAATATGAAGGCTTTTCTAATATTTTGGGGGTATATGTTATTTTTCATAAATGCTAGCAAAATATACAAGGGCTATCAATTATTTTTTAATAATGGAAATTTCTAAGATAAATATATGATGGAAATTATTGAAAACTTCCATATGGAAAGACTGATTTTGATCACACTCCCTTCATTAGAATTGGTTTATGGAAAAACAAATATGAAAAAACAAGTTTGAAGAACAAATTCACTACATGAGAAATAAATAAATACAAACAAATATGTATTTATCTGTGAAACTTTTTTGAAGCTTCAGGGGTGGGCTGCTGGGCGTTCTCAGGGGTTTGGGAGATCCTCTAGCTAAGATTCTGCACAGTTCAGAGAACCCCCAAATCCCACTCCTGGCTGGCCCTGCCCACCCCACCCGCCCCTTCCAGGAGTCCCCATGCAGCCTGTTTTGGATGCAGATAAGCGCAGGATGCTCGCAGACACTCAGGGCCTCCCAGAAGTTCGGGAAGGCTGGAAATGGGCCTGTTCTGGCTTCCAGAGAGCCTCCAGAGCCCAGGGAGGCCATTTTCGTCCTCCCGGAGGCTTGAGGAAAGCCTCCGGAGCCTGCGAAGGGCAAAACTGCCTCCCCACCATGGTGCAGGAGGTCAACTAGGCCATGGCCACCATGGCCACGCCCACCCAGCAACCGTGCGAGAACCCATTGGTAAAAATTTTGAAGCCCAGCCCTGGTCACAATCACTTGCTCGTAAGACACTTTATTTTAAAATAAACTCTTAAAAATATTGAGGATTAATTTAAAAGGGGGAAGGGAAAAACATATTTTACATCTAAAAGCACTTAGATTTGAAGCAGTTCCAGACTGCAATAGAGGATGTGAAGTAAAATTAGTTGATGGAACAATAAACTTTTTTTACTAAGAGTAAAAAGCTGCATGCAACAGTGATAAACATGGCTTTTCTTATATTCTTACAACAGACATGGTATTACTATCAACACATATTTTGTAAATTTAAGTGATAATTGTTCTTTTATTCTTAGGGCAAAAAGAAGCATTAAAAGAATTCCTCCAACAAAGAAAGTATTTGTTTTCATATCTGCGATCAAGTATTGAAAATCTGCAACAAAAAAGCATTGCTTGGCAAGAAATTTCTGGTAAATTCAATTTTATTATTTCTGGTTATCATTTTTTGGATTTTTAAAGTTTTTAAAAAAATATAGGGCCTCAAAAGCGATTGTGACTTTCAAAAAAATCTTCATGGATAAATACATATTTGTTTGTATTTATTTACTTCTCATGTAACCAACCCATTCTTCAAACTTCTTTTTCCATAACCCAATTCTAATGAAGGGAGGTTGATCAAGATCAGTCTTTCCATATTAAAGTTTACAATAATTTCCATCTTATATTTACCTTAGAAATTTCTATTATTTAAAATTAATTGATAACCCTTGTATATTTTGTGAGCACTACTTATGAAAAACAACATATTTTCCAAAAATAATAAATGTCCATGCGAGAACTGCCTTCATATTTCACTAAGTTAAGGAGTAAGAGCTAGATTTTTTTTGATTGATGAAAAAAATACTTAAAGCTTTTTATATGATCCCAGTTGTTTAAAAAACATCATAAAAATAAAGAATAAACGTTGCTTTTATAGTTAGGAAGAGAATTGCAAGAATAATATTTGGTTAGAATGTGACCAAATAATACTGATTAAATTTTGTGCACAACCATTAATATGACAATCATACAAGTTTATTCTTCGATGAGTGATGTAGAAGAAGAGGAAGTTGATAAGTTTAATGACAAATCCAAGTTGTTATAACAGAGGTGTTGCTTGCGATTGGAGACAAAAAACCAAAGTTGAAAACATGAAAGAAGAAAATATAATTAGGTTATGTGGTTGCCTTGACTATGACTGTCAAGATTTCTCACCAAAATTCTGACCACATAACCAAATCCAATTTTAAAATTCTTTGTATAGCAGTCATTAAGCAAATCAGGCAGGTTTAAGTGTAAACGGGTGTTTTTTGCCAGAATCAGACAAAATGGTAAACACTGTCAAAAACCATGGCAAATTGTCACGTGATTTCAGGATATTTCAACCAGTTGTAAATGTGAGCCAGTTGTCAAGCACACAAATTGCAGTTACATGACTGCATGAGTGCATGTGCGCATGTATGACATTTTATGAAGTCCAGAAGCTTTAAGGGCCATAAAACCCTTTCCCAAAGCCATAGTAACTTTGAACAATTGTTAAATGACTGGTTGTAAATCAAAGACCACTTGTATTGCTTTTACTTACATTAAAATCCTTGTATGATTTTCATATTACTGATCTCTCTATGAATTTGTCAGGGAAATACACATTGTTATTTGTTCTCTCCCTGTTGTCGTTGTGACAGGGAGGGCAGTTAATTATTTCTACCATGTAGTGCCTGCCCTCTGGAACATGTCTATAACCCCTCCCCAGATGAGGTCTGCCCCACCCTCCTGTCCTTTCATCAGAGCTTGAAAACCAGCTGTGCCGGTTGGCCTAGGGACCCAATGGGAAATATCATACTGGAGATGATTGTTAGATTAATAGCAGATCCCACCTCTCCCAGGCAAGCTGCTGTTCCCTTTCCATCTTTTAATCATATTGTTATACTTTCACTGTTTATTTTCATTTTCATTGTTTTCCTGTATTTTTTTTAATTTTTAATTTTTATTATTATAAACTATTCAGAGTAGTCCCATGATGAGATGCATGGCAAATATATTTCATGAATAAATAAATAAGCTTCTGTTGTCTAGTGTTTATTCACATCGGTCTCTGCAATTTGCACTATAATTTTCAAGTGGTCTTAAAGGCTAGAGCTCTCTGCAGCAGTCCAACCAGATGATGAGAACATGATTTAAAGATCTGTCCTAGGTAGGATTCCAGTTGACATACAATTTAGAGATAGGCTCTAAAAGACAAGTTCCACCAGTCAATTCAGTCTTTAACTCTGGAGAGACTCCAGTCCCAGTCCTGCTCTCTTTCAGTAGCAAATACATTAGCAAAACTTCTAATTTGGATTCATTTTCAACCTCCATCAGGATCCAGATAGACTAGACTCAATAAGCACCAGCAACTCAGATACAATTGGGTATCATCAATATACAGTTTATACCATTTGAGCTGACCTCTCACTACCCTCTCATGACCATCTCATCAACATTTCCTAGAAATAAAGATCAGAGACAGAGCAACACTTTTCAAATTTGCTTGGGTGCAAAGATGACCTTTTTGGTCTCATATAATCCCCATTAACTAACATAGTTTTACTATACGTAGTTTTCACAAATTCTAAAAAAGAACTTTTGAAAGTATGTAGTTTTGTTCATACATCTGTTTGATCCTTACAGATAAGAACATAGCAAAACAAAAATATTTGGCTGCAAAACTAGAAGCAAATATGAGAGATATACAAGCTGCTTATGAAAAAACACAGAAAATAGAAAAGTCCAGAGATGTTGGTAAGAGCAAAGCAAAAACAATATAGCATAAAATTTTTATACAATTCATCAGATTTTCCTGTAGTTTTTGAAAACAAAGTATAAATTATTGTTCCAATTTGATTTTAGGTAATCAAATCTAACTTATAATACTGTAGGAAGGCACAGCTTCTTAATCCCAAATGATCTGTGGCAAACTTCTTCCTTGTGCACATATACCCTTTTTCATACTTATGAGGAGAAATGCCTTTTAGTTTTCAATTAATTATCATCTTCTGTGACATCTGTTTGAGAACTGTTTGGTTTAAAGTTGTCCTCCCTGCCCCCGCCCCCATTTGGAGATTGCATCAATGCTATAAGATTCCAGACTATTTGGAAACATTTTTAGTGACAACAGAAAAATAAGTGACAAGAAAATGAAGGACAGACAATTCTTGCTATAGCTTGGCAGTTTGCTGAGGAGAACAATGTAAGAAAGAGTAGAAAATTGTAAGAATTTTGTGTATTGGCAGATTTTATGGCCTAAAACCAATAATAACATATATGGAACCATTTAACTACTGTAAATTAAAACAAAATTTAAAAAGTTAACATAAACAGAATTAGGGATAGAGAAACTAAGAAAGGCAAAGCAAGCTGAATTCAACAAGTAGAGGAATACATAAGTTTAGAGCAGTCCAGAGTTGAGAAAATTAAGTTCATGAGGCTTGAAGACCCGACAATAAGCAATGGACCCTTAGTAACTCCTGAAAATAATGTTATTTTAAAAACTCTCTTACAGAATATTTAATTGGGCAGTACTTTCTTGTGTAAAATTAAATATGAAAGAAAATAAAAGCAATAATGCATCCAGAAATATGTTTTTATTAGTCATAGGTTCTTTTTAAAAAATACTTTGAAAATAGCCAGGGTGCATATCAGAATATTGTTCTACCTGTTTTCCAAGAATGATAGTTATTATTCACATTTTCTAAGGAAGGTATTAATTTATATGTATAGTTGTGCTCATAAGTTTACATACCCTGGCAGAATTTATGATTTCTTGGCTATTTTTCAGAGAATATGAATTATAACACAAAAACTTTTCTTTCACTCATGGTTAGTGGTTGGCTAAAGCCATTTATTATGTATTTACTCTTTTTAAATCATAATGACAACAGAAACTACCAAATGACCCTGATCAAAAGTTTACATTCCCCAGTTCTTAATATGGTGCATTGCCCCCTTTAACATCTATGACAGCTTGAAGTCTTTTGTGGTATGTGTGGATGAGGCTCTTTATCTTCTCAGATGATAAAGCTGCCCATGCTTCCTGGCAAAAAGCCTCTAGTTCCTGTAAATTCTTGGGCTGTCTTACATGAACTGCACATTTGAGATCTTCCCAGAATGGCTCAATGATATTGGGGCCCAGGAGACTGAGATGACCACTCCAGAACCTTCACTTTATTCTGGTGTAGCCAATGACAGGTCGACATGGCCTTCTGTTTAGGATCATTGTCATGTTGGAATGTCCAAGTACGTCCCATGTGCAGTTTCTGGGCTGATGAATGCAAATTTTCCTCCAGTATCTTTTGATAACATACTGCATTCATCTTGCCATCAATTCTGACCAAATTTCCTGTGCTTTTGTAGCTCACACATCCCCAAAACAGCAATCCATGTCCATGTTTCACAGTAGGAATGGTGTACTTTTCATCATAGGCCTTGTTGACTCCTCTCCAAATGTAGCGTTTATGGTTGTGGCCAAAAAGCTCAATTTTTGTCTCATCACTCCAAATGACTTTGTGCCAGAAGGTTTGAGGCTTGTCTCTGTGCAGTTGGCGTATTGTAAGCGGTATACTTAGTGGCATTTTTGTAGTAATGGCTTTCTTCTGGTGACCCGACCATGAAGCCCATTTTTCTTCCAGGGCCTCCTTATTGTGCATCTTGAAACAGCCACACCACATGTTTTCAGAGAGTCCTGTATTTCACCTGAAATTATTCTGGGACTTTTCTTTGCATCCCAAACAATTTTCCTGGCAGTTGTGGCTGAAATTTTACTTGGTCTACCTGACTATGGTTTGGTTTCAACAGAACCCCTCATTTTCCCCTTCTTGATTAGAGTTTTAACACTGCTGATTGGCATTCTCAGTTCCTTGGATATCTTTTTGTATCCCTTTCCTGTTTTATACAGTTCAGCTATCTTTTCCTGCAGATCCTTTGACAATTCTTTTGCTTTCCCCATGACTCAGAAGCCAGAAACATCAGTGCAACACTGAATGAAAGATGCAAGGGTCTTTTAAGCATCCAGGAACTCATTTACCTTTTATACAAACACACTAATTACAAGCAAACAGATCACAGCCATTAATAGCCATTCAAACCCTTTTGTATCAACCTGTGTGCATGTTATCAGGCCAAAATCACCAGGGTATGTAAACTTTTGATCAGGGTCATTTGGGTAGTTTTTATTGTCATTATAATTTAAAAAGAGAAAACACAGTTGATTGATAATAAATAGCTTCAAGCCACCACTAACCATGAGTGAAAGATATGTTTTTGTGTTTATCATTTATATTCTCTGAAAAATGACCAAGAAATCATAAATTCTGCCAGGGTATGTAAACTTATGAGCACAACTGTATTATAGAAGAATTATTTTTGATTTTAAAATTTTTGAATTCTTTTGTTGTTTTAATCTGGGATAAGAGTATATGACAAAATACAAATACAATATTTCAGTCTTGTCTGTTGTCTGAATGTTCTCTGATGCCATGCAGAAGATGCAGCAAATGTATGGGTAGTATACCTCGACATGACTGGTTGCTTAGCGATCAGTTGAAGTTATGTTAAACTCTTCAAAAACTACTTAAGATCCAGTTTCAAATTTACAGTGGCTGCAACACCCTCACAGTCATTTGTCCTTATGACAACTGCAGGGATGCTGCAATGGTCATACACCCACCCATTCCAGACCACTGAGACCCCGCCCAAGTCAGATTAGGCTGCCTGTAAGTGGGTGTGAATCAACTGGAGCTTGCAAGCCTCCATCTTCCTTCTTACCCAGGAGAGATCATGGTGGCTGCAGCTTGCAAACCTCCAGTTTCCTTCCCATCCAAGGACTTATGTGACACAGCCTGGTCCAGAGCCCAGCAACATCCAACATATCTTTCTGTTTTTTTTACAGCTTCTGAGAGAAGGCATTCAGCCTGATACAGGATCAGCTTTCTTATAGATCTAACCTCATGGCAAAGTAGGTGTTATTTTTGCAAAGTGGCAAAAAAGGCAGCTGCAAAAACTCCACAAACAAATTGGCCCTTCTTAAAAAATAAAACCTTCTTAAAAAACAACAGTGCTGAAATATAGTAGGAATAGAACCTGTTGAAAAGTAGCATGGGTTTTACATGAGGCTGAGTTTGTAAGAAACTGAACCTGTATCTGGCCGATTGCCTCCCTCAGAATCAGCAAAAGAAGAAAAAGTTTGATGGTGCTGGGCTCTGGGGTAGGCTAAGCCTGCATATTCTTGGGTGGAATCTCCCTTTGTTTGTCCCTTGCTTATTAAGTGGGAAAGAAGCTGCAGGACTTCAGGGACCCCAAAGGGCAACAAGCAGAGCACAGGATGCCTCAAAGAGTAGGGGTAGCCTTGGGAGGCCTGGGACAGGTAACACTGGTCCTGTGTAGTCTTCCCAGGGTGTCCCTCTTCCCTGAGGTACTCTGCCCTTGTTTAATAGTCACACCAGGAAGAACATGGGGTAGGGTCATTACGTGAGGACATTTCACTTAACGGCCATTGAGATATGCGTCCATAATGGGCAAGCTCCATAACAATTGTATTTCAAGAACCATGCATTCACTGGAAGTTACCTTAGTTGTCTTACCACATAAACATTTCTTGTCTACTACTACTAGGTCTGGTAGCAGACGTTTAGTAAGTTGCAGCTTGTGCTTTTTAATAAACGTAGTTGGAAAAGGGTGCTAGTAGATTTCTGATATTTTGGCCACCATATACTGACAAGGATCTCTTCCTACATTGTCCTATATTTGATAGAAAAAGAGGGAGAGGAAAAGAGTAGCAGAATTAATGAAAATTCATGATGGGACAGAAGATCATTGCAAGAAGCATTCCTAGTCAATGAAATAGAATAGATAAACTAATATTTTAAGAGATGCATGTATGCTGCCTACCAAACATATGAAACAACAAAAGTTAACTGGAAAAACACCAATATAATGTCTTCTGGCCATTGTAAGTCACTATTGTGTATCTATACAACCTTTTTAAATAAGCATTCTTATTACTGAGAGCAAAGTGAATTGGCAAATAATTCCTACCAAGCTTGTTGAATTATTTTATTTGAAAACATACTGAGATTTTTATTCTCTTCTTGATATATATGAATAACAGAATCAAGGCAACAGTTTCAACCACTAGTTAGTCAGAAGACCACTGTAACTCAACCGTCATATCACCAACTATTGATGGCAAAAGTTTCAGCTCTACATATAAGCAAAGCTCCTAGTAAGTAAAAAATGTACATAATGTCTGGAAAATGCAAATATTAGAAGATAGATGGGTTACATTCATTAAAATTATAATAGATTAAATTATAATTAATATAGTTTTTGAAGGTTCAAATATAAGAAAACATATGTAACTCAAAGTTGAACTTAGAACATTTCCTTATCCAGCTAGAACATGATGATATTATAGTTGAATAATGAAATGTTTGCAAGCAAATACCCAAGCTCAGAGAATGCACAGAACTCACAGTTACTAAAGGCTAATTTAAAGATCAGTTGTGCATTATATGTAACAAGGAAAATGTTAAGATGTAATGCCCATTTTGCAATTTTTATAAATGTCATTTCTAATAACAAGTCATAATTTTTAACTTGTCCATTTTGAAATATTCCATTTTGAAGTTTTCACAGCAAATGCAATTCTTGGTCATTTTCTCTCTCCTCCATACAGTACAATTAAGTTCTGATGCTCAAAGTATTAATTAGACATCTCTAGCTTACATTTTTCAGCAAACGTTCCTGTTCCTCTTTGCTTTTTGTGGCCATAATAACACAACTTTTTAGGCACAAATTTTCCAAAATCAGCACGCTATAATCAATAAAAGATGTGAGTTAGGCACTAGTTACACCCTTTCCTAGACCAACATTCCCTTTTTACAGTCACCTATAACCTAGTAATCTCTCGTTTGGACTACTGTAATGTGTTCTACATGGGACTGCTTCTGAAGAATATCTTGTAGGTTCAATTGGTTCAAAATGCATTTGTGTCTATGTAATCTGTTTTGCAGAAGTTATATTGATTACCACTTTGCTTCAAATGCAGTTCAGGATAGTGGTTATCATATTTAAAGTCCTACAGCTTTTAAGGTCTACTTAAAAGAACTGCCTCTCCCTAGTTACATCTACTCAGCCCACCAGAATGGGAAGCAAGAGATGTTACAAGTCCCATCTGTTAAGGAAATATTTCCACTGGGATCCAGAAAAAAAGCCTTTCTCTGTGGCAGTTCCCTCCCTTTGGAATATCATTCCTTCAGAGATACGATTTTTCCCCACCTTGGTATTTTTCTTTAAGGCCCTGAAGATATAGTTCTGTCAGTGGGCCTAAGGACCATAGGTTGATATGAAGCCAATCAAGGTTGGTGTGATTAAGCCTCATTGGGTGGGGGAAGTTACTCTGTGGAATTGTAACCTTAACAAAGATTCCCTGATGTCAGGCACTTCGTATTGGGGAAGAGCGTACGATTTTTATGAGTAGGTCTTGAAGGGATAATATGCCTGGGCCAAGATTACAATAAAATCTAGTCACTGAAAGAGGAATTCTTTGTTTACAAGGACCCACAATCAGAACAGTGTGAGAAGCATGAATCAAGAAAACCTGAAATTGCCAAAGTAAATTATACTTCACAAAATTGGGAGAAGGAGAAAGGAAAGACAATAGATAGGATGTTTGGTCAGACATTGGAATATCCTTGGAAAATCATGCTATTATTGGAAACAGATGACAAGAGATCTTTCTCTATAGTGATCAGGAATGAACCCCAACTCAGGAGCCCTTAGTTTACTACAATGTACAACTTACAGATAATGTTCCAGTTGGTGAATTATTCCTCAGACATCAGTTATAAACTTTTTAATATCAGCAATGAATTATAAGGTAGATCAGATTAAGAGACAGGTACTGTGTGGACTAGGGGTGTCAAACTCAAGGCCCAGGGCCTCTGTCAGCCCTCTTGAGCTCCATTTTCACTGGCAGAGGGTTGCAGGTGGCTGTTGCAGCCAAAAATGGAGCTTGAAAACCTATTTTAACTGATAGAGCACTCGGGCCACCACAGGCGCCCCCAACACAAGTGACATCAAATTGGCCATGCCCACCCTGGCCACACTCATCCCAGCTGCCCAAAGTCAAAAACAACCCTGATGCGGCACTCAATGAAATTGAGTTTGACACTCCTGGTGTAGACATAAAGCTAAAGCTACTTTTATTAAAACAGCTACAGAAGCAGAAACTAGATATGGACAATTTTTCATATGGGAATATGTTTTCCTCTTTCCCTATTTAGTCTTTATTTTATTCAGGCTTAGGAAGGTGAGGCATTTGAGTTATTTTCTAAAAACCACCTTCTTAGTCTAAACTTAAATATTGTTTATCTCATTGTTGCTTTAGTAACAGATCTTCCCTCTGGCTTTCAAGACCATCCTCTAGACTCAGTAGAGATGTTTATATATAGATGTTTTCTCTCCATCATTCCTTTTAGTGATGAAAAGTATCAGACATGAAGAGACAAGCCTAGATAGTACAAAATCAGAGGAAAGACCCACTAGTTCTCTCTTAGCGGAGCGGAGCAAAATTCTAAGTAAGTAATGACTTTCTAGATATACCTTTTATTTGGACCTAGCTGAATTTTCAGAGAGTTAGTATGTAAATCATCTGTAACTTGTTAGATTGCTGATTTTCAAAATATGTTTATGTATACTGCAGAATAAAAATGCAAAATTGCTTTATGCCTATATCTAAATATTTGTTTATAAATATATATACAAATTATTCTTTAAATTCATAAAGAATGTTTTGGTGTCCCTGCAATAACCTAATATAATGCTTTTCCTTCCAGGCAGGGAAGTAGATATGTCAAGTAGAAGCAAACTTAGCACACAATCTTTGCAAAAAATATCTAGTCTTTTTCCATTTGATATCAGCAAGTTTTCTGGTAAGTATATAGATAAATATTTTGAGTACAATTGGGAATGTACATAAAGAAAAGGTCCCAATTTAGACTTTGAATAAAGGAGCAAAAAGAATTTTGAGATTTGGGTATATATGTTAAAGAAAGAAAAGGTTTAAGCCTTTTTAAAAAAAAGAAAAAAAAGAAACAAAAGTAGAGTTCCATTCTACTTATAAAAGAATGGCACCTTATCACCTAATTGTTAACATTTCTTTGGATGAAGACTGTATATCTGCATTTCATTCCTAAAATTCTTGAGGCAGTGGTGGTATTCAGCTGGTTTGCACTGGTTCGGGCAAACCAGTAGCGATGATTTGGTGTGGGTCCCCGAACCAATAGTGACTTCCGGCTGGCCATGGTCCCTGACATGGTTATCCGGTTGCTGCTCGCTTGCTTGCCCTGCCCACCTGATGCTTCCTCACCCCGCCTACCTGATGCTCGCCCCGCCCAGTCACTCCTTACCTCCTATGCGGCACACTGGGTCCTCGTGGCTTGCCTTTAACCTGCCTTCCCATGTAATGTCTGCGCCCCAACTGAGTAGCCCTGATCTGCCTACTCATAGGTAAGCCTGAGAGTTGCGCTATCCCCCCCACTGTTCCTGGATCTTCCTGGCCCCACACCATTCCCGGATCTTGCCGCTGCCCCCCACTGTCCTTGGAGCTTGCCGAGGGCCCCCCACCATCTCCAAGTTCTGCTGGCTGGCTTCCCCACCACCATGGCCCCATTCTGAGAGGCAGCGCTGGCTGGGGCCTACTTAGCTGTTCCCCCCACCGTTCCTGGGCTCAGCTGGCTGCCTAAGCCGCCACTTGGTGCTCTCCCTACCACGTGGCGGCCATGGCGCAGTGAGCTGTGGTGGATGTGCTCTGACTGGGAGGGCGGGTACTCCTTGGGCTGCCTCTTGTAGCAGCTCCCTGCCTCCGCCCACTTCCTTTCATCACCTGGAAGAAGCAAGTGGCGGCAGAGGTGCTTTGAAAGGGAGGGCGGGGACTTCTGAGACTGCCTCCCATAGCAGCACCTCTGCCGCTACTGTAGTCACTCACTTTCTGCTTTCTCCTGGGGGACATGCCACTTCCAGCAGGTGGGTGTGTGGCCCTTGGGAGACATCTCTGCTGAGCTGGGGCTGAGAGGGGTGTTGGAGGTGCACATGTGCAGCAGCCCCGATACATGCCCCCACTCCACCCTCCTGGAATATTGCTGCCATAACCACTCACTTTCTGCCTTCTCCCGGGAGATGAAATGAACAAAGCGAGCGGCCAAGGCGGCTGCATGCTCCGTCCCCCACCCCGCCACTCACTTTCTGCCTTCTCGCACCGCCCGCTACTCTGGATCTTGCCAGATCATTTCGTCCCAGTCATACCAGGTGTGTGTGTGTATGTGTGTGTGTGTGTGAGAGAGAGAGAGAGAGACAGAGACAGAGACAGAGACAGAGAGAGAGGTGTGTGTGTGTGTGTTTGTGTGATTTACATGCAATTCAATATCTATAGTCCAGAGCATTTTGCTCTACAAATGATTGCATTTGGGATTAAATCAATACTAATTTTCCAGGAGGGATTTGTGAGTAATATTTGGTGGCTCCTGCTTATATTTTCTGTTTAGACTTTTGTACACATCCTTGGAAAGACTATTAATGCCAGTAGTACTGTAGTTTTCTCCCCCTTTAGATCTCTTGAGAGAGAGGGGGGAGGGAGGGAGGGAGGGAGGGAGAGGGAGAGAGATGGAGATGTGGCTTCTTGGGAGTGCATTTTGGAGAAGTATCAATAGAAATGCTAAAAGGGCAATCAGTTTGGGATTAAATTCCAAATGAAATTGGGTCTTCAGGATAAGAAGACGTGAAGAACTTTCAACTGCAGGTTTCTAAAAATCTTATTAGGATATTAATCTCATGTTTTAAATAAGATTTTTAGAAGCCTCCAGTTGAAATACTGAAATGGTATAGGGTTCCCCCCAAGGTCCCTTCTAAGTGGTATTCTGTTATTCTGACACCTTTATACTGTACTCAGATTTTGGCATCCTCAGTTTTCCTCCTGAGCAGGGGGTTGGACCCCCCAAAGTCCCTTTCAACTCTGTTATTTCTCAGCTAAATAGCTAAGAGTCTGAGGATGCCAAAATCTGAGTAAAGGTCCTGGGAAAGATGTCAGAATAACAGAATAACACTTAGAAGGGACCTTGGGGTGAATCCTATACCATTTCAGAGAAATGGCTGTCCAGTCTTTTCTTAAAAACTTCCAGTGATTGAGCACCCAGAACTTCTGGAGACAGGCAGTTCCACTGGTTAATTGTTCTCACTGTCAGGAAGTTTCTCCTTAATTTTAGGCTGCTTCTGTCTTTGTTCAGTTTCCATCCAATGCTTCTTTTTGCCTTCTGGTGCTTTGGAAAATACATTGCCCCCTCTTCTTTCTGGCAACCCCTTAAAAGCCTGTTGCCTATCACACTCTTGGGCAAAGCATGTGAGCCATTTCCTCCTTTCAGTGGTCCGTGAAAGGACATCTGTAGTATGTAGATAATAAAGTAAAAAAAGGATGAGGAATATTTTTACAGAACTATAGATACATTGAGGCTGGGTGTGATAAGGAATGGCTGGGAATGGAGGGCCAGGCAAGGCACCCCTTGATGTGAGTGACATTGAGTTGGCCATGCCCATCCAGTCACATTACCGCCAAGCCATGCCCACCCAGTCACATGACCAACAAGCCATGCCCACTAAGTAAGCTGGTAGTAAAAAAATTTGAATCCCACCACTGTCTTGAGGATATAAAATATTGCAGTAGCAAAGCAGAAGGAAAACTATAAATGAACAAGCAAAAATGTCTCCTTTTTTTTCCTGGCCAAAGATTATCCTTGTTATAAATCATAGATATAGGACAGAGATCAAAGATAAAGAATAAAAAGATGAAAAAACAAGATCGTGTAAAAATCAAAGTCAACTTTTAAAATATATTTTATCCTGATAGTATATTGTTTGAGCAGTTCAATCAAGAGAGATTTAAAATACTTCAGCAAACTGTAAATTGCACCGTTTGCCTAAGGGCTTATATCTAAAATTCTTCAGTTATATCTAAAATATGGGTGAGTGAATATGTAGGAGCAACTGCAGATAAATAATAAAATAAGATAGATCAAACTGGTAAGAATCATAGTTAAGCTTTGTCTGAAGCAACATAAATAATTATAGAATTATTCCTGCTTTGGTCTTCTGTTTCTAGGACAAAATGCTGAACTTATATTAATTCACATATTATAGTATAGTTCACTGTGAAAATAGAAATATTATTGCCAAATGCATCTAAATAAAGATACATACCCCCTTTAATTCATGGACATGATAAAATCAGACCAAAGCATTACAGTAGACAGACTTATTGATAAAATGCAGGAATTTTTTTTTAATTTTTTTTTAACCTTTAGTTCACCTTGTTGTTTTCAGCTGATATTGCATTGCACGAATTACTAGAATACAACAGGACTCTGCTTCCAGGCCATAAAGCAAATCTTCAGCATGCATGGCAACTTGCACAGCGAAAGATACTACAACAACAAGCTAATCTTGGTAGGTTATTTGGTTAATGATATATACAAATATGCATTCATGCATATGCATTATTACACGCCCAGGAAACCAAATGAATTTTTCTTTTCTGTTGTGAATAACTCAGTTTAAAAATCTAGCAAAGTCTGAGGAGTTAGATTTTTTTAAATTTTTTAAAAAGTCTTTATTAGTCAAATTCTACAATTAAAAACAAAACATACTTCCATTCATTTCAGTATGTCTGTAGTGGCGTTCACTCCCATTGACATATTCTTAAGTATGTAGATTATTACTAAATATTATTACAATTATTTTACATTCAATTTATAGCATATTTTCATATATTTACATAGTTATTTACATAATTATACATAGTTATACTTAGTCATACAATATTATTTCATCTCAACATAACCTTAACCATACAATATTATTTCATCTCACCATAACCTTTCATTCATTTCTCTATTTTGTGTCTGCCTTGCAACCAATTATACCATAGATTCCAGATTTCATGGTACTCTGTCTCTTCTCTCTCCTTCATTTCCATTGAAAGCCTATCCATTTCTGCACACTCTAAAACCATTTTTATTATCATAATGTCGGAGGGAATATTGTCACATTTCCAATTCTGGGCTGCAGTTATTATATGTAATATAATATATTAGAATTTCTTACTAATTTTATCTCTTAATATACCCAATAGGAATATCTCTGGTCTCAATTAAATTATCATAGTCTCTTTTACTGCTTCTTCCATTCAGTATCTTAGGAGATAATTATACATTTTGGTGATCATTTTTTCATCTGTCCCCTGTAATATTTTGTCTAATTCCGGCTGATCTTTATATATACCAAATTCTTCTATATCTTTCTTATATCTTGTTTGAATTTGTAGATAAGGCCACTAGTCTATTTTTATCCCTTGTTCCTTCAATTCTTGATTGGTTTTCAATTTTCCCTGTTCATCCAATAATTCTTTATATTACACTATTTTATTTAAATCTAGGACATTAGGATACACCATTGGTTCTATGGTAGATAGCCAAATTGAGATCTTCATGTAATGGTTTCTCTTAATTCTCTCCCAAACAGTGTCTTTAACTTTGTGTCTCTAGAAGTATGAATGTAGTGTATTTTTCCCTTCCTGAGTAGTTAGATATTTTGAATGGCCATCCCAAACTGTTACAGAAGCCCAAGAAACCAGAGACAAAACAATCTGGAGGCAATGTGGAGTAGATCTTTTTCATGATCTCTTCACATTACACAAATGGGTGATTGACATGTTACTTGCAGAAGATAGATTAGGTGTCTATTGAAGCATGGGACATTAAATGAAAGCAAGTTTTAGTCCTTTTTTAAATTCTTGGCAATGATGTAACACAAACATTGACTGCTTAATCATGGCATTATTATTTAATGTTCCTGAAGAGAAATGCATTAAAGGAAAAGCAATAAAATGATTATCATGGCCATTGTCTAGTGGTGGCAGTCCTGCAATTTTATTTTGGAGAGACTCTGGGTGGAAATAGGACAAGCATAACTAACCAAATAAAGAAAATTAAAGAAGAGTATTATGTTCAGTATGAAAGAGAGACCTCTGTAAATACCTATGTAAGTTATAATGATAGTATGCTAAAGTAATAGAAGGTCCAGTAAGAAAGGAGGCAAAATAATAGAAGATGCCAAGCAAAATTCCGTGTAGGTTCTGCGCTCATATACATTGTCCAGAGGCAAAGAACCACATGGGAAGCTTAAAATTCTCTGTATGTTTAAAAAAAAGTATTCAAGTTATTTCCAATTTTATCCTCCAATATTCTGAGAGTATAATATGCGATATAAAAAACTAATTAATTGGAAGTCAATACTACATGAAACACCCCTTTTTCAACTTTATTTTTATATATTTACAAACATTTTGCCCATTATTTTGATTACTATTCTAGTTGCAATCTGAAATTTTAATCAGAATATGGGAATATATAGCTTACATTTTCTTATTTTTAAAAATCTGATATTCTTAGCCTTATTTTTCATTAGAATTGCATTTTTCCATTCACATTGTTCTCTTAGAGATTGTGTTGTGTTTTAATTTGTAGCTGAAAAGTTCAGAAGCTTGTCAGTGTTTTTGCCTCAACCAGGTGGCACTACTAGGTTCCACGATTATTCTGGCCATCCTTCAAGACCAGGTAATCCATATTAGTGAAAATAATTCTGAATTTTTTTTTCTAAAAAATGAATATTATATTCTATATATTATGGATGTGTTAATTTTAAAGATAACTGTGGTTAATAGATGGTTAATAAAAGAGAGTATGGATTTATGGCACATAAAGTCATTTCTAGTACTTCAGACGCTTGTGTTTTTCAAATAGCATTCCCTGGAATCCTATAGCTTTGCCTCTTGATCAGGGGTTCCAGGTTTTTGTTTTTTTAAAAAACTAACAAGCTCCCTGGGGGAAAAAATGAAACTCCCTGAAATAGTTTAACTTAATGAACTCCAGATGTTTTTGATTACATTTTCCATATTATTATAAACATCTATGAGGCAGAAAGCCTTACCGGATACTTTTAATTGTAGAGATTTTTAACAATACTATCTTAGAATATAGAATAGAACAGAACAGAACAGAACAGAATAGAATAGGCCAAATGTGATTTGGACACACAAGGAATTTGTCTTACTGCAAATTCTCTCAGTGTACATAAAAGAAAAGATACTTTCATCAAGAGTCAAGAATCATAAGGTACAACACTTAATAATACTCATAGGGTACAATAAGCAATCAAATCATACTAGGAAACAATCAATATAAATCATAAGTATACAAGCGACAAAGTTACAGTCAAACAGTCACAAGTGGGAAGGGATGGGTGATAAGGAGTGATGGGAAGATTAATAGTAACAGTAATGTAGACGACAGTGTTGAGGGAATTATTTGTTTAGCAGAGTGATGGCATTTGAGAAAAAAATGTTCTTGTGTCTGGTTGTTCTGGTGTGCAGTACTCTATAGCATCGTTTTGAGGGTAGGACTTTAAACAGTTTATGTCTGGGATGTGAGGGGTCTGTAAATATTTTCATCGCCCTCTTTTTGACTCATGCAGTATACAGGTCCTCGATTGAAGGCAGGTGGGTAGTAATTGTTTTTTCTGCAGTCCTAATTATTCTCTGTGTCTGTGTCTGTCTTGTTGGGTTGCAGAACCAAACCAGATAGTTATAGAGTGCAGATGACAGACTCAACAATTCCTCTGTAGAACTGTATCAGCAGCTCCTTGGGCAGTTTGAGCTTTCTGAGTTGGTGCAGAAAGAACATTTTTTGTTGTGCTTTTTTGATGACGTTTTTGATGTTAGGTGTCCATTTTAGGTCTTGTGATATAATAGAATCTAGAAATTTGAAGGTCTCTACTGTTGATACTGTGTTGTCTAGCATTGTAAGAAGTGGTAGTGTGGGAGGGTTTCTTCTAAAGTCTACCACCTACTCTATGGTTTTAGGTGTGTTCAGTTCCAGATTGTTCTGACCACACCACAAGGCAAGTTGTACAATCTCCTGTCTGTATGCAGATTCGTTGTTGTCTCGAATGAGACCAATCACTGTTGTATCATTTGCAAACTTCAGTATTTTAACAGATGGATCGTTTGAGATGCAGTCATTGTTATATAGGGAGAAAAGAAGTGGAGAAACCACACAGCCTTGGGGGGGGGGGGGCTGTGTGAATTGTACATATAATAGAACATAGAATAATGGAGTTGGAAGGTACCATGGAGGTCTTTTAGTCCAACCCTTGGTTCAACTAGAAGACCTCAAAGATTAAATCCTTAGATTTGAAGAATTTGTAAACTCACATCCCAGTTCTTTAAAATGTGCATTGTATGTAATAACATCCTCTAAAACCTGTCTATATGCAGAATTTAATAGTAAGTAGTAGTTTTATTTTATATTTATTTTATTTTATACTGTTTTAGCTTTTAAGCCAGTGTTGACTCTTAGAGACTAACATGGAAAAATTAATACAACTTTCTGGGCAATATTTTTGGAAGTGCATTGTCATAGTTTTCCTCCTAGGACTCAACAGATATTATTTTAAAAAAGCCTTTTTGTAATAATAGTTACATCTTAAATGCCAAATTTTGTGTCAGATAGCATATACAAATCTGATTCTTTAAACACCTAAGTTGATTTGCTAATTATGAGCATATAAATGCTTTTATACATTTTTTCTTATTATCCTATGATAGAATAGAATAGAATAATGGACCTGAGAGGTCTTCTAGTCGAAACCCCTGCTTAGGCAGGAAACCCTACACCACTTCAGACAAATGGTTATCCAACATCTTTTTAAAAACTTCCAGTGTTGGAGAATTCACAACTTCTGGGGGCAAGTTGTTCCACTGATTAATTGTTCTAACTGTCAGGAAATTGCTCCTTAGTTCTAAGTGGCTTCTCTCCTTGATGAGTTTCCATCCATTGCTTCTTGTTCTGCCCTCAGGTGCTTTGGAGAATAGCTTGACTCCCTCTTCTTTGTGGCAGCCGCTGAGATAGTGGAAGACTGCTATCATGTGACCCCCTAGTCCTTCTTTTCATTAGACTAGACATACCCAGTTCCTGCAGCCGTTCTTCATATGTTTTAGCCTCCACTTCCCTAATCATCTTTGTTGCTCTTCTCTGCACTCTTTCTAGAATCTCAACATCTTTTTTACACCGTGGCAACCAAAACGGAATACAGTATTCCAAGTGTGGCCTTACGAAGGCATTATAAAGTGGTATTAACATTTCACATGATCTTGATTCTATCCCTCTGTTTATGCAGCCTAGAACTGTGTTGGCTTTCTTGGCTGCTGCAACACACTGCTGGCTCATATTTAAATGGTTGTCCACTAGGACTCGAAGATCCCTTTCACAGTTACTACTATTGAGCAAGGTGCCACATATACTGTATCTGTGCATTTGATTTTTCTTGCCTAAATGTAGAACTTTACTTTTTTCACCATTGAATTTCATTTTGTTAGATAGCGCCCAATGTTCAAGTCTGTCAAGATCCTTCTGTATCTTAAGCCTATCTTCTGGAGTGTTTATTTCTGCTAGCTTGTGTCGTCTGCAAATTTGATGAGTTCCCCATTTTATCACCTTGTCCAAATCATTGATGAAGATGTTGAGAGTACGGGCCTAAAACAGAGCCTTAGGGTACTCCACTGCATAGTTCCCTCCATGCAGATGCAGTTCCATTGAGGACTACACGTTGAGTGTAGTTGGTCAGCCAGTTATGATAGTAAAGCACACATTTTAAACTAATTTTGATTCAAACATATACCAAGATAAATATTCTGAATGGATAAATGAGATTTTTTTCAACTCTAAATTTGTTAAGAATGGCACATTTTATATCTTCATCGTCTCTTTTATCTTTTGAATACTAAGAAATGTAAAGAATTACTACTTGTTACAATAAAAAAATACTTTTAGCATTCTTAAAATTCAGGATAGAGTCAAAATAATGTTACATTGATCATCTTTATATATTTCCATGTAGCATGGGAAGCAAACCAGTTAAGCCAAAAGTGCTACCCCCAAAAGCTGACTTTCTTAAAGAGAAGACTATTGGGACCAGAAATAAAAAACAATATAAAAGGTAATAACTCAAATGTCAATTGTACCTTCTTCGTAGATTTTGAGAGAGAAAATGTAAAACAGTACTATATTCATGAGATTGTCTTTAAAATATATTGTAGGGAAAGCATGCTTCTCTTTGCTAGGTAGCATAATTAGAACTGGAGGCCTTCTAGTCCAACTCCTTGCTCAAGCAGGAAATCCTATACCATTTCAGACAAATGGTTGTCCAATATTTTCTTAAAAACTTCCAGTGTTGGAGAATTCACAAGTTCTGGAGGCAAGTTCCACAGATTAATTGTTCTCAATGTCAAGAAATAGTTTTGTGTTCTACAGGATTTGTAGACTATGGTTTACATTACCTTTAGGAAGGGCTTCTGCCAAGAGATGGACTGCACCTTTGAAGAGAAGAATGTGTTTGGAAACCACTGGCTAGGCTCATCTGAAGGGCTTTAAATTAAAAATGGAAGGGGAGAGTGTCCAATCTTTAAGACCAAAACCAAGCATAAACTCCAAGGCAACAAATCAGCCAGTGAGGAAGGAAGTGGTTACAAGGAAGGGGAATACTTCTTAAAAAAGCTCTCCTCTGCCATAGCAGAACCCCTAAGCATTATATATGATATATCATTCAAAACCAGCTCCTTACCGAACCTATGGTCCTTAGCTACGGTCATCCCTATCTTCAAAAAAGGTGACCCCAGCCTGGTTGAAACCTACAGACCAATCTCACTGTGTTGTGTCACGTGCAAAGTCATGGAATCAATCATTAACCAATTCATCACCTTCCACTTAGAGTCAAACAACTTTCTCTCCCAAAAACAATTTGGTTTCAGGAAAAAATTGTCCTGCAACCTACAACTCCTACACTGCAAAAACATATGGACTACTCTACTTGACCAGGGTAAAGCAATAGACGCAATTTACATTGACTTCTGCAAAGCCTTTGATTCAGTGGTACATAACAAACTACTGTTAAAACTAAACTCTTACGGCATTTCCGGATCCCTTCATAAGTGGATTACTGCATTCCTGTCAAACAGGCAACAAATAGTAAAAATAGGGAGCACTATATCAAATCCTGCTCCAGTCAACAGTGATGTCCCCCAAGGCAGCGTTTTAGGACCCACATTCTTTATACTCTAGATCAGCTTATAAGCAACTGCGTCCTCTTTGCGGATGATGTAAAACTATTCAATACCACTGACAATGCTACTGTTCTTCAAAGTGACCTTGATTCTGTGTCTGAATGGTCAAACATCTGGCAACTCCAAATCTCGACCAATAAATGCTCTGTCCTATACATTGGTAAAAAAAATCAGTTCACCAAATACAAGCTAGGCGGATATGACCTCGTTGATGACCCTCACTCTGTCAAGGACCTCGGAGTACTTATATCTAATTATCTAGAGCTCACTGTAACAGCATTGCCAAAAAGGCATTAAGAGTTGTAAATCTAATCTTACGAAGCTTCTCCTCTGGAAATATTGAATTGCTAAATAGGGCATTCAAAACTTTGCTAGACCAATACTCGAATACAGCTCATCTGTCTGGAATCTGCACTGTATATCGGACATTAATACAATTGAGCGAGTCCAGAAGTATTTCATGAGAAGAGTACTATATTCCTCTGTTCTCAACAGAATATCCTATACCACCAGGCTTGAAATTTTGGGCTTGGACAATCTTGAACTACGCCGCATACAGTTGGACTTAAGTGTAGTACACAAAATTATCTGCTACAATGTTCTACCGGTCAATGACTACTTCAGCGTCAACCGCAACAATACAAGAGCACACAACAGATACAAACTCAATGTTAACTGCTCCAAACTTGATTGCAGAAAGTACGACTTCAGCAACAGAGTGGTCAATGCCTGGAATGCACTACCTGACTCCGTTGTTACATCCTCTAACCCCCACTTCTTTAACCTCAAACTAACCACTATTGACCTCACCCCATTCCTAAGAGATCTGTAAGGGGTGTGCATAAGTGCACCATCATGCCTCCCGTCCCTGTCCTATTGTCCCCATTTATTTGTACCTATTTCCTGTATTCTTTTTTCTTTTTTTTTTGTAAATTTTATTTGAGTTTTCACAAAGAGAAAAGAAATACAAATAAAACATCTTTTTTGAAAGCAGCATGATCCCGGGTTACATTTGTACGAACAGACGCAAATTCAGGTTCATGCTCATTTTTATATTCTATTCCATATCTTATTACTATTTTACATTTTCTACATATCTTCTCCCCTTTTTTAATTTTCTCAATTTTATTTATTTCATCTCAATTCAAATCATTATATTTATATTTTTTGTCTGTCCTGTTTCAATTGTCTATTATCTTTTCTCATTAAACAAAAATTTTCCTGTAATTACTGATTGGAGTATGACGCCTTTATATCTTTCCCCTAAAGTTGTAACACTCAATATAGTACATAACTTCCATTCAGATTCTGCTTGGTACATTCTTAAACTACACACTGTATTCTTGAAAAAAAAATGTATATAATTAAAACAACATTCCATACCAATACAATTCTATCATTAATATTAATATTCATTAAAGTCTTAACATTTTTCACGTTACTTTTCAATTAAATATCATACTTCTGTGGGAACAAGTGTAAACTTTCCATAGTTAATTCCCCCCCTCTTCACTTATATTTTATAAAACATTGACTAATTAAAATGTTCCTTCCTAATTCAATTTTCTCATTTATTTTATTTCATTTATTTTATTCACAAACATTTCACTAAACTATTTTATCCCTCATTTTAATCATATGTTGTTTCCAATTTCCTAAAGTTATTTCTATTACAAATATAACAATACAATCTTATGCACCTTTACAGAATCCCTTTTTCAGTTAGATTTTCACCCATTATCTCTAAATAGGTCCTGTTTCTTTATATCTTGCTCCGGACCTTTGTAACTTCTTTTCCTTTCCTTCTTCCCTCTCTTCTTCTCTCTCCCCTTTTTACCCCTTTGTCTCTCTACCTCTATTTCCCTCTTTGTATTCCCCTTTTCTGTTGCTTTCCAGTATTATACTTATTTTTCGAATTATTTTTCTTTTCTTTGGTTGTTTTTTTAAGTCTTAAATTCTCCATTCTCTTTCCCCCTTTCCTTTTTCTTCCCCACATAGAGTTACTTGTTCATTAAAGATGGCTTCTTCTTTGTCCCAGTCTTCTTGTTTTGCAGTCTTTTCTCGTTGTTTCTCATAGTCCCAGATCTCCATTTCTAAGAATTGAAAAATGAAACCAAAAGAACCCTTCCCTTCTTGTGCATCTTCTTTGTACTTTTTAAGTTCCATTTTCAATTCATCCAAAAGTGATGCCATTGTAGAAATTTTTAAACAACCACCCGATTGATTTTAGTCATTCAAATATAATAACCAAAAATCCAAAAGTCACCAAGCAATCCAAATACACGCAAGCTGTTTCTTTTTGCTCTTTCTTTTTTCCCCCACTTTCTCTTCCTGGGGTTACTATTTAGTTGCAAAGTTTCAGTTAAAATGTATCTTTTAGAAGTCTTATTGAACTAGATTCTTTTAAAGTCCAGGCAGTCTCCTCCCTCTTCCAGATCCTGCCCTTATTCTTTTTCTCTCCCTTCCTGCTTATAGAAGAAAAAGTTTTTAATGTCCAGAAATCTTTATTGTCCCTTTGGCATTTTGTTTTATTTTCAGCTTAATTGCCTATTAGTGCCAAAACGGATTTTTCCGATTTCTTATATAAGTCTCTTAGCTGTCAATATAGGGAAGGAGAGAGAAGAAGAAGAAAAAGCCAAACCTTTTCCCTTTCACTTTCTTTCACTGCTTCCGACTCTTCTTTGGGAGTGATGTTATTTTTTGTAAAATTTAGATTCCAGGGTACCTTAGTTGTTGCTTTTTCAACTTAACCCGGTCAGCCAAAACTTTCCCTTCTTATCTTCCTCCTGCACGTTCTTTTCTGGTTGAGTTCTTCTTTGAGGTGGCCATTTCTGACCACCACTCCTACCGCCTTCGGGAAAGGGAGTAATGGCCCTCTGAGGAGGAGAGATGTGGCTCTCCTTGACCCTGCTGGCGGTCTCCCCCCTCTTCACCACCTCTACAGGGTGGCTTAGCCCCGAAACCAGCCGGCTCGGGGCGCTCCGGCGGCGAGCCCAGACAGAAACCGTGCATGATCGCGGATTCCTGCCTGTCGCCGAAGCCCTTCAAACCAGAAGTCCCTATTTCCTGTATTCTTACTCATATTTATATTTATACCTATTATCTTGTAAGTGATTGACAAATCAAATCAAATAAATAAAAAATAAAAATAAATAAATAACTCAGGTATAAAATAGGAGACCTGGAAGCAAACACAGGATCAGCCATAAAAAGTTCAGAAACTCTGAGAAATGAGATTATTAAAGCCCAAACACAATACTACAGAAAAAGAAAAAAAGAGAGACCCCAGATGAAGCTAGCATGGTGGCATAAAGTGCTCTCTGACAAACCATGGGACAAAAAGGGCAAATATAAAAAATGAAAAGAGGGGCACATAGGAAAACAGAATACTCTAAATAGCTTGAATTTGAAAAGAGAGATCCAAGAAAGATAAGGTTCAGAATAAAATAAGACTCGAAACAAATATAAAAAATAACAACAAAAAGTTTATTTCAATATGTAAATAATAAGAAAGTCGAAGAAATGATAGGTTTGCTAATCTGAGAAGATGGCCAGTGACAGGCATCAGGGAGAAAGTGGAACTTAATTACTGTTTTGCATCTTTCTTCATGCAAAAGGAAAATATAGTCCACCTTATCACAAGCAGCATCATGAGATAGAACAGCAGCAGGTCAAAATAGGCAAAAAATTAGTAAGAGAACTCTTTTCCACCTTAGATGAATTTAAATCACCAAAACCGGATGGTTTACATCCTAGAGTTCTGAAGGCGCTGACAGATGTGATCTCGCAACCAATGAACAAAATCTTTCAGAGCGCCTGGAACACAGGGCAACTGCCAGAGGATTGGAAAAGAACTGATATGGTTCCAATTTTCAAA